TAAAGGTGTGGCAGCTTGGGCAGTGGAGTGCCGATTTTGGTCTGATATTTGTACATGCCAACATCGTTTTCTTCGTTCAAACATACCTTTTCAGAGAAAGGATACGCTCAACAAGAAGAAGACAGTATTCATGCACGTATAGAGAGACGTGCAAAGAATAAAACCTCCTTTAAAGGGGGGGCTTATGTCCAGCAGTGGACTACTTAAGGCGTTGATGTGATGCGATGAACACAGCTAAAAGCTAATATTAAGATGCAAAACTAAAATTGTGATGCTAATTCATAAGATTCTATAAAATGTTTAAGATGTAGAAGAGATTAGTTAAGGTATTACCACTCCGACTGTGAAAGCTGTTAAGAATAATGTTTAAATAAATTGTGATTTTAGTAGTTTATAATTAATATTATTTACTGTAAAGAACATTTTGAGAGATTTTATGTTATTTTGCTTTGAATTCATTTATGTTATTTGCAAAAAAAAAACTACGAATTGTGCGTTGATTTTAATACTAATTAAGTGTAGTTGATGCGATAAATAAACACACCAAACTTATAATAAACATCTTAATACATTAAAAAAAACATAATGTGTAGTTTTATTTTCATATTATTTTAAGGATTGTATGTGTTTGTAATTAAAAACCGACTCAGTTAACATTTAAATATAATTTTCCGACTTAATAACAGATAGACCACTAAAACGATGGCTCCTACGTAAAGAATCGTATGTCTGTAATGTAAACTTTAAAAATCCAAAAAAAAATTTGAAGCCCAAAATCGATCTAAGTGGCGTGCAATGGGAGAGGCCTAGGTCCAGCAGTGGACTGCGATAGGCTGATGATGATGAAATGTAAACTTTACAGGACAGCGTTTTAAAGATGTTTTCATTCCCTGTATAGTTGAATTTAAAGTTATTCTTCTGAAATTTACAACACTTATACATGATATAGAAATTTATGTATGCCATGCAATATAAAAATCAATCCAGTCTGTGCATGTGCCTGAGTACAACGTGTTCCTTAGCGTGTGTGTGTGTAAATGTGACTGCGTGTGTGTGTGTGTGTGTGCATGTATGTGTGTATGTTTGGAACTATTATTGAATACTGTCCATGAGTTTTTCAGTCTCCTCATAGTCTAATTTTTGTATTTAATCATATCAATCATATTTGTGGTATTTAATCAACTCTTTTTTGCAATGTGTGCCCGTTTGTGGATAAATATTGAGAACTTTATTGATTTTATTATATAAATGGGGACCGTTAAAGTCAGAAAAATGGCTGCTAAATTTAGTTTTGCACTCCAACGGAGATTCACACACCATATATTTTCTACGTCTCTTTAACAACTGTGGATTATAGGTCATTTTGTTGTGTTATAGCATTATAATCTTCAAAATATACAATTGTCTTACGTTTAGAACTTCGCACAGTTGATAACGTGCGGCAGTGGGATAGAATATGGGTTTATTATTGCAAACCTTGAGTACTGCTCTCTGGGCAACTTCAACGGACTTCATTACGGTTTTATATGTGCCTCCCCATGAGGTAATACAATATGTTTGAAGCGACTGACATAGCGCATAATATATTTGCTTCATCAACAGCGGTTCTGCTACTGATCTCAAATTCTTAAAGACATAAATGAGTTTACGTGTTTTGGAGCACAAGTGTTTGATGTGCTCTTTAAAGTTTAGATTACTGTCTATTATAACACCCAAGTACTTTATCAAATTTACACGCTCCAGCGATGAACAGTTACAGTCAAGCCCCAGGAAAACTCGTGTGATATAATATTGTTTCTTGGGAAGTCCGGAACTACTTCTTATGCTGACGCAAATATATTTTGTCTGGTTTACATTTAGTGTTAGAATATTCTTCTGAAGCCATTTCGTAGCAGTATTAAAACCCTGCTGTTTTTGTCCAATGTTATGTCTGAGAATCTGTATATTTCGAGTATGTATACCAGGTTACTGGGTGAGTTGACCAAGATTCTTCAATGTGTTATAGCTGCCATCATTTCTGATAGATTTCATTGTGAAATACCATACCGGAAACCTAAACATTTTCAAGATATTGGACTTTTAAGATTTTTGTAAAAATTGCAGAAATTTTGCTTAATACATTTTTTTAGAACTTATATCTTTTTTTTCTGTTTTTTTTTAGTTTATGCTGTTTTTGTATAGTTGATAAATTGTTTTATAATTTCAATCACTAAAATTGTAGTTACTGTAGTAGTACTTGTAGATACTAGTAACTTAACAAACTGGGCCGACGTAGATGCTTAATATATGGGGTCTACCAATAAGAACGTCCTGGTTTAAAAATTGAATAAAACACACAATTTTTTATGAAAAATGCATCCAATTGATTTTTTGATAGATAATTTTATGCCATTTATGTTTTAAATAATATATCGGCTAAATGACCGCCGCGGCTCTTTTTGCAGACGGTCACCCGCTCACGCCAATTTTCGATGACGCGGTGCACTATTTCGGCCGCGAATGTTGGTTTTTAGATCACGAATTGTAGCTGGATTATTGCTGTACACTTTAGATTTAACGTAACCCCAAAGAAAATAGCCTAAAGGTGTTAAATCACACGATCCAACGTTGGTGGCCAACTGATCGGTCCATTTCTCGTAATTAACGACTCACCAAACTTTCCACGCAATAATTCCATGTTCACTCGAGTAATGTGAGGTGGTGCACCGTCTTGTTGAAAATAAAGGTCGTCTGCACCAATATCATCAAATTTCGGTAAGAAATATTCGGTTAACATCGAGTTATAGCGCTCGCCATTCACAGTAACAGGGTTTCCTTCGTCACTTTCAAAGAAGTTTTGGACAATTTCCAAGCGTTGGTTTAAAGTGAAACGTAACATGATAAAATGGCAAACTTTACTGAACACAAATGTCAAGAGACGTCAAAGATCCATCATCAAACATCGGCCATGTTTATGCTATGAGCTGTCAAAACCAGGTCATCCCTATTGGTAGAGCCTATATAATAACAAAATAAAATAAATTCGTATTTTTTATTTATTTCTTTGACGGATATTATATAAAAAATCTATGACAGTTAAACTGTAGATTTGTTTAAAAACATGTACGTATTTTAAGGCGTTTAACAAGGTATAATAGTCTGTATTTCCGACATTTTTGAGACAGTGACAATACCATAACTTAAAATAATGTCTTAACGGGATTTTGAAATATTAAAAAAGTTTGACAGAGAGAAATTTAACGAGGAATATATACTCAGATAATATTAAAATATTACGCGTACACGTATGATAATCATCCTCCTTTCTCCTTTCTAAGGCTCTCCTTAGAAAGGAGAAAGGAGGATGATTATCATTATGTCTTATGGCTTATGTCCAGCAGTCCAGCTATTAAAGGCTGTTGATGATGATGATAATCATTATTATTAGAACACATTCATTCGTAAGGGTTTAAAGACACTATGCTAAATATTTTTTGTTTCTTTTCACAAACCTTCGCTTTTCAACAATGCTTCAACTTTACAAAGTTAGATTTAATTATGTTCTTCATTCAGTAGTTCCTACTGGGTAGTTTCCTCAGGCAGATAACACACTTCATGTACTGACTCAGTTCGGGTTGCTAGCCTAGCATCGTAATCTCGTCACGACAGTCGATTCTGCGGGTGGTCTCTCCCATCAAATTGTGGTTCTGTCCATGATTTGGAGCGATGTCATATTGGAGCACATGCAGCATCGACACTTCCTTCTAAGAGGAGGTAATTTTAGCAAAAGAGGCGGCTAAACAGGAGAGAGAGCAGAGTACAACTCTCAGACCGCAACAGATGCAACGGACACCAAAGGCAAAGTTTCGCCCGGCTAGCTTCAAATTTTAAGTTCAATCAATCTTCATTTCATAAAATTATTTTCCAATTATTAGAAATTCTTTTTAATAAAATTAAAACTTTTGATCAACCAAAAACGTACGGTGCTTTGTTAAAATTAAAATTAATAAAAAGAAAATGGGAAACCGAAAATACTATATCTGTCTGTGTTCATCAATGAGAGTCTTCGATACTTTTTCTGCCACCAGACGGCGCTTCGTATGCGTCAGGTCCAAACAGCTGTCAGATAGCACAGATTCTTAGGTACCGAACGTATAATATTTTGGTGAAATTCTATGAATTTGGAAGTGTTATTGAGTTTATAATAGATTACGGCCAGAGAAAGGTTGCCGAACTGAGGATTGAGCTCAAAAAGAGAGGCTCAAAAGTTTTATTTGCACACATAGGCACTGCACAACACTGTGGAATTTAAGAAATCAGTATTTTTTTTGTAACGTTTTTAAGAATGAAAAAACCAAAAAAATGATGGAAAAATACAAATCGTGTGTTTGACAGGTGGCTAGACCTGACGCTACAGTGCTGCCATCTCACGTGGAACATTTCAGAAAACCCTCATTACTGACTGTTTCCAAATATAATAGTCTAATACCAAAACCAAACGTATATCACAAGCACGTCAGCTCTTGCACAATTGAATAGTTTTAACGATAAATAAAAAAAACTGGTTTGATTGGAAAAGTCAATAACGAATTTCACTTATTCATGCACAAAGACTTACATTGAGGAGGAAGTGGGCATCTAACCCGCGATCCTGAGATTCGAATTTCAGAACAGATATTCTGTTCCCGCGATACCACTTATCTTATTAACTTATTCAACTTACGTAACTACCAAATATATTTTACTAACTTTTGCCAGTCTTTATTTTGGTTATCGCAGTAAACAGTAGTCTTATGTTACTAGTTGATTATGTAGCTTTCGATTAGTGTAAGGATTTTAAAAATCGGTTTAGTGGTGTAGGCGTGAAAGCGAAACAAACAAACTCACTTTCACATTTGTAATATAAGTATGGATTATATGTTAAATTCAGAAGAGAAACAGTATAGTCAGAAAAACCACCCACACACACAGTAAAAAAAAAATGGATTTCTATGTAGCAATTTATATGTTTTTTTTTTCAGGATTATGGCCGGATAGAGATAGAGAATCCAATGTACGCGCTTCAGAACTACAACCGAGGACTTCCAATACAATATCGGGTGTACCTACCCGTTGAAGTTGACGTTGACGTTTCGTCACAAATCCCCATAGTTACAGAAATCACGGTCAATGGGAAACCAATATGCAATGGGCCTAAACGTAAATCAGTTTTTTTTTATTATCAATTATGTTCATAAAACTGATTTAAAAAAAGGAAGCAGTTCTTAATTCTGTTGTTTTTCATCTCTGTTACTTTAGAACTCCGTTAATTATAATTGGATATAAAAAAAAAAAATCTCATTTGGCAGGGGAGACTTTGCGGTTTGTTCCATTTTTTTTTTTGTGTACCGTTATATGGCAATCTGTTCCTTCAACAACAATAAGCCAAAATTAACATTAAACAAAAAAAAATACACACTTAAAGATGTAACAATGTTGATGATGAATACAGTTTATTTCAATTCATCGTGATAATAGGCGCATTAAAATCCAAGTTACGAGTACATTATAAAGTATTATCTTTATTTTATTATTTATTTATTATGACAAATTCGTTTAAATAAAAAGCAACCGACACTATAAACAAATTTCAGTATCCGATTGCTTTTCTATACACCACTAGGTGAATAAACGTAGAGATCGTACTCAATGTAATATGAGTCTAATCTTAAGCCACAAGAGCGCTTTTTGCGGTGATTATGAAAATTAACAACACGCACTTCAAATTTATTGAGTGTTTACTATATAACTGTAATGAAAACGACCGCTTTACTCTTATATCCTACTAAATGGGTTCTACTGAGATAGTGATACCTAATGTGTGTGGAGTTAGTGTGAATGAGTGACATATTATGTAAATATAAGATAGATATGTAAATCGATATGGAAGGTCAATGTTCTAAGTTTTTTCAAGAATATAACTTGGACCAGTAGGTAGAAACAACATCGAAAAAACAGTTACCCAAATTAATTAAAACCTAATTGGATTCTTCTAATTATGTTAAGCAGTATTTGTCGAGGTAACTCTAGATGTAGGTAGTTATCGTGCTTAACGCAATACCTCAAAACGGAGGTATGACACACTGTGCCAAGACGTGGACATTTATGATTGAACTAACCAACAGTTAACAGCTAATATTGGAGAGAGTTTTCTTAAAGGGTATAATTCATGAAAGTTTTCTGACAAAAGACTGAAGTTACCGACATAACTGACTGAAAAAGCATGCTGAAGTGTTGGTATTGGAAACAATAGGATGCACAACAGCCACATGGCCCTGGATCTATGTAATCATTTACGAGTATGACTTATGGTTAGGTGTAAAACTGCACATTATCAGTCCGAACTTAAGCATAATTGATGCAATTCGGTCTAAACAAAGGATAACCAAAAAACATATCGTAACTAACAAGACGGCATAATAGTGATTAAGTACCAATTTTGACATTTAATATCTCGTAATAAAGTGATGTGTTACTTTCCAGTGATACCTCGGCAGAACCAGGTTATCACGAACTTCAATTTGAAACAGACTTCATACCTAAAGAGAACAGGAGAACAGTTTGGTGTTGGGCGGCCGCAGCTAAATCAGAATGATCAATTAGGCGGTTCATTAGTTGACGTTCAAGAAACACCTATCAGAGGAACGGACGAAGATCTTTTGAATTCATTATTTAACTTTCAGAGAAATCGTAAGTAAATCAATCGGATCCTAATAAATGACAGACTACACAATATATTTACTAGACTAAAATGACACTACCGTAAAAAATATATTTGCAAATCATTTTCAATATAGAAAAAATTCTGTACCTACCTTTCATGTACTAATTTTCCTTAATGATATTTTTACATGAAGCGGCGGTGCAAGAAATACCTGTGACACGACCAGCAAGACCCTTATCATCATTAAGACCATTGACACCTCAAAAAGCTGATCCTGAGTCGTACATTCCTTATTTTCCACGAGAGGAAACTACTGAACCCCCCCAACCAGTTACCACACCAAGGTAAATTTCGGCAAACATTCCAGGCTTTAGAATTAATCTTAGGAGGTGATTCGTGGAAATAAGTGTTTGAAGAATTTTTATCTATAGTTGCAATATCTTTTCGTGTCTTTTTACTTTAGTCTTTTTATCTTTGCGTTGACACTTATCTTTTATGATAAATTGGTATTATCAAGAGTTGGTTCTTTTCAAATGCCAAGGGATGAACTTTATGATTTTCTGCTGTGGAGTTGACAGGTACTTCTGACATTATTATAACTACATATTATGTACGTATAAATGTACATTTGTACCAACTTTGCTAATTATTCTAAACATCATCATCAACAGCCTTTTGTAGTCCACTGCCTTGACATAGGCCTAGGAGTTTTCAGCTCTGACCGCCCCGAATAGGGCGCGCCTCTGGCGCCCCCAGAGGATATTGCCATACGCGGATACCGCACGGTGTCCACCGAGGCGGCTTGCGCCTTGGCCGGAACACCCCCGTGGGATTTGGAGGCGGAGGTGCTCGCCGAAGTTTATCGGCGAGTGGCTGACTTCCGGGCGGAGAGTGGATTTCGCCCTCCGCCCGAAGACGTGCGCGAGTGGCGCGAAGCCGCTCGCCGAGCCAGATGGTCGTTCCGGCTGGAGACTCTACGCGCTGGCTTCGCCGCCGTGGACGCTCTCCAGCCGGTCATTGCCGAGTGGGCAGGGCGGCAGCACGGGACCCTTACCTTCCGGCTGACGCAGGTGCTTTCCGGGCACGGTTGCTTCGGAAAGTGCCGGGTCGGTCGCTAGGAAGGAATCGAGTCCCGCCTGCCACCACTGCGACTGCAGTGAGGACTAGGCCCAGCACACGCTGGCGGTCTGCCCCGCATGGGCGACGCAGCGCCGGGCCCTCACTGCAGTCATCGGAGCGGATCTCTCGCTACCAGCCGTAATTTGCTCCATGGCCGGTGGCGACAGTGTTTTTACTGCGGTCGCGAGGTGGTAACCTCGCAAAAGAGGCGGCGGAGAAGGCCCGGGAGGACGACCTCCACTCGGACCCGATCCGCCGCCGGCGAACCGGGCGGAGGAGGCGCGCTCACCTGCGCCTCATGCCGCCCTGAGTGTGGCCGCGGGTGGACGGGATGGGTTCTCCACTCCACCCGCATTAGTTTGTGCCGGACGTCGCCTAAAGAGAGGAAAAAAAATAATTGAGACGGAGCCCACAACAGGAGCGGGCCGGCGCTGGGAGGGGTCCAGAAGCCGATAACTACCTGGACCCCTCCTAAACTGGAAGCACAAAGAGGGCACACCGTGTGGTTTTAGTCGGTTCGAGTCCGACACACCGCCCCGAACGAGAGCCCCGGCGGGGTGACGGTCCGAGGGGATTTCCACACGTTAAAAAAAAAAAAAAAAGGCCTAGCAGTTTTGGTTTACTGTACCACGCTGACCAGACGGGTTGGCACAGGATTTGTTTCAAGTTTTCCTTCTCTTTGCAGTGCTGATGTCCTGTGTAGTTTACTCCCTTAATAAGCTCTTATGACATCCAGGAGATGAATAGGGGCGGTGACACCCGTAATCTTAACCCGTCACCACACGGATAGTTTATTCCAAATATTATAATTATTTCAAAGTCAAATGTTTATTTTGACTGGGGCATACTGTTGTACACATTCTATTTCAGAGGTATATAAATGTTTACGTGAATTTTTGTATAACCCTTGCCAACGTCCGCAGACTTACCCAAAGACAGCCAGAACTTGACTCCAGTATTGAATGCGGTACGCGGTCCAGCGGGAACGATAGGCTTGCACTCGTCTACAATGGGAGAAACTACATGAGAGGTGACCTGCCATGGCTGGTAGCTATTTACAGGAAAAAAGGAAACAGTCTTAGTTTCATATGTGGTGGCACTCTTGTCTCGAATAGACATGTTGTCACTGGTAAGTTAAACATTTTACTTATCTTGCACGGTTTAATTTAAGAGAAATTTCAATTAAAAATTTCAATATAATCAATCGTGATGAGAACTAATATGTTTTGTATTCTTATACTTGTACTTCTGATGTACTTGTAGATGAATAATGAGCTAATGAAATAAATAGTACAGACTTGAAAGAAATAGGCCTTCAACTTGTACAGAGCTACTTGACTAAAAAAAGACACCTCTGTGGTTTGTTTCGGCGTTTCTTCCTAGAGTGAGTCTTAGACAATGCCGCCTTCTAGCTGTAACGTTCGACTTGTAAAGATGTACTTACAGAAATTAATATCAATTATCATTTCCTGAATTCGTTTGAAGTTAATAGACATGATTTGCCAAAAAATCTCTAAGATATTTTTCATATCCTCTAAGATATTTTTTAATGGAGTTAAATAGATTTTTTCAATAATTACAGCTGCCCACTGCATGCGGCATGGCAATGAAAGGACTGAAATTAATGATATTGTAGTGAAAGTCGGTGTTCATAGACTTGACGATTGGGGCGATGAGATTACTGTCACCAGGACTCTCATTGACGCAAAAATACATGAATCGTTTAACGCTACTTCGCTTCAAAGTAAGTGTTTGGTTAAAATTAAACTTCTATTAAAATTGTTTTAGAATTTCAAGACCATACATTTTATGATTTGAACTGTTTTTGTAAAACTGATTTTATTTACTTACTATATGTTTTGAAAAGTCAGTGTAGAGTTATATCTTTGAATCTGCATCTACAATATCTATTCATTCTTGGCAGATGATATCCTCGTGCTGACTTTTACTAAGCAAGTCAAATTCAACGCGTTCATTAGACCAGCCTGTTTGTGGAATGGTGACTCTTCTCTCGAGCACATCGTAGGGGCTTCTGGAACTGTAAGTATTGTTGAACTTTGAATAAACTCACTTGGACATACTCTTTTAAGTAGGTAATTCTATAATGTGTCATATATTAAAAATATCGGAAAATAATTTCCGGAAATTATCGCGATAAAATAATATTTATTCCATTTAAAACGGCTACAAAAACTAGATTTACACAGTGATACTAGTCACCGATGTGAAACAAGATATAAAAAAATTTCGACCTTTCGACCACTAGGCGATCTCTAGTACCTACTTATAATTCAGCCTCAGATTTAGAAATTTTCTTCTTGTGTACTCAAACAGTTTTCTGAATTCATCTATAACAACAATCTGTTAAGCCCGTTGCTTTCGCTCTTCTTAAAGTGACTAAGCGATGTCAGGGCGGGTATGGAGGACACAAAGAAGTCCGGTACTGTTACTGATCGACTTCTTAATGCCTTCAATACCATCAATTGCAATATCTTCTTATCTATCCTTTCCTATCTTGCGGTCTCGCCTAAAGCACTAGAATGGCTCTCATTTTATCTTCAGGGAGTCAGCAGTAGATGAATCTTCTTTGAGCGGGTATTTTTTCCCCTTTATTATTTTCTGTGTATATTAACCTCCTAACCCTGGAACTTCGATACGTTTATGAAGAAAATAGTGTCTCATACGGTGTCCCACAAGGAAGTATTCTAGGCCCCACACTTTTTCAGCTTTATGTAAAGGACCTCTACACTTTGTCCATCCCAAACGCAAAAATTTGACAAAATGACAAGGTAGTCTTTATTTTGGGGTCTGACTGGCGGGCCGTGCGAGAGATAGCTGAAAATTCCCTAGCCCTGATTATGAATTGGCTCACTAGTAACCTTCTTACACTAAACTAAAACGCTCTATGTCCCATTTACAATGAGAAAAACAAGCGCCCCTCCTTGCAACCTCAATATTAAAGCACAAATATTCCTCACTAAAGACGTTTGTATATACCAACATATCATAAGAGCAGAAAGTGTAAAATATCTTGGTGTTCACATAGACTCTGGTCTGAAACGGGACAAATATATTACTATGGTGACAACGCAATTGAAACATCTCATACATTTATCTTTAAAACCCTGAGAGATTCCGCTACAAAAGACAAGATGTATATTGTAGCGGACTAGTCTACACGGCTTGCTGCAAATCCATGGTTTTTTACTGTATCACAGTTTGGGCAGGAGCCACTAAAACCCACTCTCGCCCTGGAGAGAGCACAAAGAGCAGTTCTAAAGGTCATGACTAAAAAACTCTACAGGTACCCAACAGTCCTAACAGTACGACAGCTCTTTGTGCTTAAGTCTATACTGAGAAAGCACCAAAATGTACCCCCTTCAAACTCAAACAGACGAAGATTTATGTCGGTATGTCCTAGGGTCTATTGCAGAACCTCCTTCGCCAGACGTCAATCTGTTAGTATTAGTTGTAAACTTTATAACCACATAAATAGAGAAGTATGTATTGTAAGTCTCAGAAGACATGAACTTGAAAATAAAATTTCAAGCTGGCTTCAGTAGCTATACTATCAAGAAAATTCTTCGGCCCTCGGTATTCGCCTGAGAAATTTCCTACCCGCAAATACCAAGACCGTGCTTGTGCAATCCCTTATCTTCCCTTTAATCGACTATAGTGATGAGTGCTGTTATGACATGAATGAGGCAGATCTTCTCGATAAATTAGACCGTCTTCTTAATAACTGCATTCGATTTGTTCATAATCTCCGTAAATATGATCATGTATCCGCGTTCCCTTCGCAGCTCAATTGGCTACCAATTCGTCTATGCCAAAAAACTACGTGCTGAAACAACCCATCTTCGCCAACATATTTAAACTCCTACTTCCAACTTTTATGTAATAATGACGAAAGAAACCTTCAGCCCTCTTCCTTCTTCTGGTAACCTTCTTCTTTGCTGCCTCCCCCCCCCCCCCCCGTGACTGAGTTTGTTGGCACATCCTTTAATGAGCTTCCCCTCGAAATCACGATGGCCACCAACACTTTCTCATTCAAAACTTAAGTAAAGCAGTAACTTGTAAACACTGGCAGACTGGCAGAATCAACTGAAATATGAGTGTCAACTTATATTATTAATGGTATTTATTTACGTATGCATGTATTTATGTTATTTTATATGTATTTATGTATATGTATGTACGTGTGAATTATGTGTATGGGTTCTAGTGTACGATACGAGGTTTCTAGGTCATGTGTGTGCTCTAGGTTTATGTGTGCGTATTTGATATTATTACTACAAACAAACTAACAGAAATGCACCAACGACCTGTTTTTTCCGCATCATCCAAAGGTTGGCTGGTTGGAAGGGGAATGCCTTAGGCATTATGATGTGTAAATAATTAAATAAATGATACACTAATCTCGTTTACTGTCATACAGGTCGCAGGTTGGGGTGCCCAGATAAATCAAGGTGCTGGAATCGGTGAGCCGCAACTAGTAAACGTGCCAATTGTCCGAATGGAAACATGTCGATCCAGCAATATAGCATTCTACAAAATCACCTCTGATAAGAGTTTTTGCGCAGGTATGGTTAGCCAAGTATAGTTGCAAGTAAAAAAATTTGAACGATTTATGTTTTAATCGATTGTAATTTGTCTTTTGTATTTAAACAAACAAAATAAAAGAAATAGAATTATTCAATGTAACATCATAAAGTACAATCAGATTTTTTCCCCATTATCAATTTAATGTTAATGTTTTCATTGATTTGATATCTTCAAATCAACATTAAATTGAAACGATTTGGACGTGGCTAGATATTACGTCACGTTTTGATGTTTAATAAAAATGTATTTGTTGTGAGATATCTTCTCCATTTGTGAATCAATTATATTATTTTTTAAATGGTTAATGGTCAGGGTTGATTAATTTACATTTGAAAAGATAGTCTACCTCTAAGGTTTTAAAATTAAGTAATGAAGAACACAGCTTGTTGTAGGTACTTTATCGTGATTTAGGGTTTATTTAGTCGGTGATACATGATTTAAAAGTTGAATGACGACTGGATGGCGTAGTTGTTTGTGGAACGGACTGCTATTCCAAAGGTCGCGGGTTTGATTCCCGCTTAAGTCAAATATTTGTGTGCATGAACATTTCATGTTTGATTTAGTCTGGGTGTTCCTATGTTTAATACGCAAGTATTAACAAAAATAAGTAAAATATGTATTTATATCAGATGTCTATTACTCATAGTATAAGCTCTATTAAGCATTGTCAAGTCTTAGTTTGGGACTAGATGGCGTTGTGTGAATGTGGTAAAAAATATAAAAAATATTATACTTATTTTCTAGAACAACTATCAATTAGCTCTAGCAATAATACGGATCTAATACATTATTTAAGAAAATCATACAAATCTTTATTCCTTTCACAGGAGATCGTAGAGGCTCGGGTCCTTGTAGTGGAGACTCCGGTGGCGGCTTTTACCTTTTAGACGGAGGCAAATGGAGACTCAGAGGCATTGTCTCCTTCTCACTTCGAGCCCAAGATGGCTCGTGTGACCTAAAAGACTACGTAGTATTCACCGACACAGCAAAATACCTACCTTGGATCAGACAAGTCTTATCAAAGGAGTATTTTGATTAAATTGATATTTAAAGGCTATATTTCCAGTAGTCCCTCTAGCATTGGTCGACAACTGGGTAGAAAATACCCAACTGTTCACTTCAGATTTGTGCAAGAGGGGACAACTGGTAACTTTTTCTCAATTGTCAAGACTGTTAGACTCCAAATACATCATAGTGTTACGCGCGTACTTCTTCTTCAATCCTAATTATTAATCTGTGTTACCAGTAAATGTACTATTAAGGGTCAAGGAAAACCTGCACTACACGTATTTTACACAAAGTAACTGCGCACGTTTTCGCTGCACGGATGGCGTAGTGGTTTAAGCGGTCGCCACGCCGCTCACTACTACGCTGAGTGTTGTGGGTCCGATCCCCACATGGGACGACACTTTGTGTGATCCACAAATTGTTGTTCTGAGTGTAGGTGTTCTTTGTGTCCGTTTCTTGTATGTTTCTAAAGTCCCCCGCGACACTGGATTTTTTCCTAGTGCGGGAGTTGTCTTTTTAAAAAACAAAACGGTATCAAAATCAATTTACTTTATGAATTTGCTAAATTATACGGCAGAAAAACTTTAAAAGACTAAGAAAAGACTCACAGCTATAGAGTTATTTTTGTCTGTTCTTGGCTTAAACTGTAGGTAACGCTATTATTTTACATCAGTGAGTCAGTCTTGGAATATAATCCAGCTAAATTAAAAAAGTTTATAATTGCCACAGGGTAGACACTATTACAGGAATTTAGAATTTTTCTACAACCTACCACTAATGAAACTTAGAAAGCGTATATTTATAGGATATAATAAAATATTTTAATATAGATAAAACGTTTTTTTATTTATTCATTCACTGACTGAAAAATACTTTTAAGTACTTCTGTTGATCCTTTGTTATTCAATAATCAGCTAAAACTGACGGAGTTCGAAGGGATTTCCTTTCTAGATAATACAACTACCTCGCCAGTACTTGTAGCTTCATACTCAACTTCAGAGTGGACTACCAATGGTGCAGCAACGCAAAGGTCAAAGTTAAAGATCCCCTTACTACTGTGGAATGCCAAGTGTTATGTACTCGTAAACGCACTAAGCAAACGACTCTGCAATCATTTGTGTACACGATTAAAACTTTTGCTTTGTGAATGTAGCAATAATAATAGTAATGAAAATAATGAAGCGGTACCTCCAGCTTTTAAACAATGTAAAGGAAAACTGTCGGAAAAAAGTTCTAATTCATACCTAATATTATGACAAAGAAAAAATAACCTTATTTTATGTTAGCAAGGTGACTTTTAAAAATAATTTAAAACCTCACTTTAGCGCATTCATGAATTTTTAAGTAGATTTTAAAGATATGTGACAGTAAAGTTTGTACCTAACTTTTTACAGAGTAAAAATAGAAGATGTATTGATCTTCAAAACTACATGCTACTTAAAATAAAGTGATAACATACGAAAAAAAACGAATCTAATAATGATACTGACTGCCTCGGTGGTGCAGTGCGTTTGCGACTGCTTTGCTTAGGTCTCGGGTTCGATTCCCGGGTCGGACCACATGTTTGTATGATCTGCAAATATTTGTTTCGGAGTTTGGGTATTTTCTATGTATTTTATGTATGTATTTACAAAAAAAGTATATAAGTATTCTATCAGTCAATCTAGCTTTCATAGTACAAGCTCTGCTTAGTTTGAAACTAGATGGCGTTGTGTGTCAGATGTCCGGAAGTATTATTATACTTATTCAACAACAAGTGACTGCACTGCAACAAGTGACTGCTGTAGTGGTTTAAGCGCTTCGGTAGTGCTGATTTTATATGTATCTAAACCTATACTTTTAACTCATATACCGACCAAATGCAAGTTGAATTTGCGTCCAGCGTCCAGATGAATGTTGTATTTTTACTAAATTTAACATATCATTTCTGTGTACGTCACAAAATAGCAGTAGGTCAGAATAAGTTTTTTGTATCTAGCTTTAGCTAACACAGAACTCAAAACCTTTGCAGATTAAAAGACCATTGCCTTGTTTTAATCTAAGTTTGTTCTGCGAAGTTCTCATATCTTCTATGTTTTTTTTCAAAATTTCAAACAGTAATTTCGGAGATAAGAGATAAGATAAGTCTAATTTTTAGCTTTTTTGATTTATATTTGAAATGAAAATGGTTGAGCTCCTTAAAGAATTCCCTACCGTTTGTTTTCTTATTTTGCCTCTAAAAATTAGTCATATACTCAAAATTTCAACCACAGACATTCACAAGTGATCCTATTTATAGGGACCTAAGTGGTTTATTTTTGCTTAGACGTATGGAACTCTAAATAACAACAAACGTACCAAAATTAAATCTATTCATTATCAAAAGGATTATAAACTGTACAAAAAGTTGACATTTTAATTTTCACAAGATGATTTATGATTTAGCAACCAAAGGATGCTATATAATTGAATAGATTCCACAAACTACAAATCGCTTAAATTATAAAAGTTTTTATAAATTTAGAGAATATTAAAACATAACAACGTTATGTAAAGATTTTTAAGATTATTACGTATCGGACGGATATTCAGAAATGGCTGAGAGATTTTTTATTCTCTTAACAATGCAATTACGTTCTGTGTTCGGTAGGTTACGGTAGGGATGATGCTTTAAAGAGACGACCCATGTCGTGTGGTGTTCCTCAGGGGTCTGTTCTTAGACCCCTCCTGTGGAACATAGGCTACGACTGGGCCCTTCGAGCTGATTTTCCCTCAGGGCTGGGTGTAATTTGTTACGCCGATGACACTTTGGTCACGGAACGGGGGGCGACCTTTCAAGAGCCGGCGCGCCTCGCGACCAGGAGAGTCTCTCTGGTAGTCGGCATTGAGGCACTGGGCTTACGGGTGGCCCTGGTAAAGACGGAGGACCTCTTATTGCATGGTTCCCGTCGTGGCCGCCCCCTGGTGCCTCAATTGTTGTTAACTCGGTCCTCGTACCGGTTCAGGCAAAGATGAAATATCTGAGCCTGGTGCTCGACGGGAGGTGGCTCTTCGACGAGCACTTCACTTAGTCCAAAGCTGGTCGGCACTGCGTCTGCCCTTGGGTGACTTTTGCCTAACCCATGGGATGTTGTCACGTAAAAAAGAAAGAAAAAAAAAGGGTTGCATAGGTTAGAGAATGTACTCGAAGATATTGCCCGCGCCGTTGTGGGCAGGCGAATGTCTTAATAACATTCGTTTCCGGATCCCTCCTCTTACAGGCGCCGAGTGGCACACCGTATGGTTATAGCCGGTCCGATTCCGACACAGCACCCCGCCGCAAACCCCGGTGGGGTGACGGCCCGAGGTGGTTTCCACACATAAACGAAAGGGTTGCATTGGTGCATTTATACTATATCGACTTTTGACCGCGACTCCGTCCGCCTGTAAGTCGGTTACCTATGTTACTCGCTGATAATGTAGCTTTCCATTGGTGAAAGAATTTTCGAAATCAGTTTTTTTTTTTAATTTGACAAATTACTTTAACATTTATAAGTATGGAAAATAATATTTAAACATTTGAATATTAATATTATAAATCAGAACAATTCCTCGGAGCACTCCTCATAATACCACAGATAGAGAATGCAGAGCGAAGCTACATCTCATACTTAAACCGATATGGAATGTATATATAAAGATAGAAAATATAATATCGTTTTTTATTCATACCTTTAAAACTTGAAATTTTTTTGTTAACAGTAGACATATGAACGACACAGTGAATGAGGAATCGCTTACAAATAAAATGGGAATCGCCTTTCTTCAGATATAGGTACGCCACATTTGATGAAAGCCGATTATCATAGATTGTTTGCCATTTGAAATACAAAAAACCGACAAGTGTAAAAAATTCCTAAAGGGGAAATTCCAAATATCATAATATTCAAACTCGTTGTTGGTTTTTTAGACAATTTAAATTAAATTAACATAATCATTTATTATGTAGATTACAAGTTATTTTGTTCATGCATCCAGAAAGCCTATTCTCGTTATAAAAGTTCGGTCACAATTCAGTTCCGATTAACTTTCGATCTCACAACTGTCATAAAAGGTATTTTCGTAGTAAAGTATTAAACATCCAGCGTTGACTGTAATGTGATTATATCGGTAACCGAAAATTGAATCAGTAGTCTTAAGTCTTAGTAACTATTAAATTTTTTTACTTTGCTATTTTACTACGAACCTTATTTTGAACCGAACTTTTATTACGAGAATTGGTTTTCTGAATAAATATTACCTAATCGCTAAATCTTTTATACTTTTTACGGATTTGAATTTTTAAATGACTTCAAAATAGGTTTTCATTTCGGTTGTGATTTTTTATGCTTGCTACCTAAAAACTGCGTTTTTTATAAACAGTTTTTTTTTATAGTTGATGGAAATTATTGCTACTTTGAAATCATTATCATATTATGAAATTATTGGTTTTAATCACAGCGATTTCACGTGTGATAAATCACTACTGGGGTTGGACATCAACAAAGATCAATGACATCAAAAACTTAAGCAAAGAAAAACCAAAAATTTTATCAAAGACTGGAATCTATGCCTTTTTCTTAGATTTAGACCTTTCGCAAGTCTGGCGCTAGCGTAATTATAATCATAAGTCGCAGTGGTTTTGTAAATTAGTCACAGATGCGATTATGGAGTATGGAGCCTGCCTGTAAGATGCGAGATGCTTAGTTATAAAGTCTATACGTTTGTAAATACCTTGTAATAGTCTACGCGCCGTTGTAATAAATACATTAAAAATACCTGTATTAAATCATATGATTTATAACAGGTGATTGTGATTTTATTCTATCCCAGGTCCCATTATATTTCATTTACCATTACATTGTAATTCATCATGATGTCAGTGATGCTTTTTTGGCTCTGAAAGTTGGCGCACAAAAAGTCTTACTCTTTACGCCTCTTAAAAATAGTTCAGACTAACATGTAGGGCTAAAATAATGGAAATAAATTTAACTTGACCATGCTGACACTATTATGATTCACAATTTTTGTTAACTCGTTTAAAAATTAAATATCATCATTTGTGTCACACATTTGAAATCATTATCATATTATGAAATTATTGGTTTTAATCACAGCGATTTCACGTGTGATAAATCACTACTGGGGTTGGACATCAACAAAGATCAATGACATCAAAAACTTAAGCAAAGAAAAACCAAAAATTTTATCAAAGACTGGAATCTATGCCTTTTTCTTAGATTTAGACCTTTCGCAAGTCTGGCGCTAGCGTAATTATAATCATAAGTCGCAGTGGTTTTGTAAATTAGTCACAGATGCGATTATGTAGTATGGAGCCTGCCTGTAAGATGCGAGATGCTTAGTTATAAAGTCTATACGTTTGTAAATACCTTGTAATAGTCTACGCGCCGTTGTAATAAATACATTAAAAATACCTGTATTAAATCATATGATTTATAACAGGTGATTGTGATTTTATTCTATCCCAGGTCCCATTATATTTCATTTACCATTACATTGTAATTCATCATGATGTCAGTGATGCTTTTTTGGCTCTGAAAGTTGGCGCACAAAAAGTCTTACTCTTTACGCCTCTTAAAAATAGTTCAGACTAACATGTAGGGCTAAAATAATGGAAATAAATTTAACTTGACCATGCTGACACTATTATGATTCACAATTTTTGTTAACTCGTTTAAAAATTAAATATCATCATTTGTGTGACCTTTGGGCGTTCTCACTACCGTAGTAGTATTGCTTTTTGTGCTTCACGCCAAAACTGGTATTTCCAAAACGTGTTTGGCTCAACTCATTTTCCAAATTCAAATAGGTACAGTTTGACGCAAAGAAGCAAAAATAAGGACGGATATTCATATTTTTCTTTTTGGCATTTATGGTATGCTAATAACGCGTGTTTTATTAAGAACAAATTATTAATTATATTCAAATTTGTAACGATATGTATCTTTTACATTTAATTTAATAGTAGGTATATCATCGATTTCTGAAGGATATATGTGAATATAGTAGGCGCCAGTACAGTATGAGATTATAGTCGCGACTAAAAACCCTGACTCAGCCGGTTATACCAGTGGCGCAGGGAAATGTTCAGTATTTATGAGATTGTTTTTAATTATGTAATCTGTTACGTCTAAATTTTCATTTACCATGGGTAGAAATACGAATTTTGATTTTAAATAAGTATAAGAAAGTTAAATAATAAAGTTTAAGTCGAAAGACTCGTTAGTAAGCTAAAGGTGAGTGCTATTACGATACCAAATTAGTCAAAGGGTTAGTCAAAAATCAGTCAAGGATTATTAACTAAGTACTGTTTTTTGTTTGCTTTTTAAATTAATTGTTGTTATAAATACAAACGAAAAAAAAGGCGTAACGCATAAACCCCAGTGGTTTAAGGTTAGCCTATATTAAATTAATTGTTATATAAATTATATAAATAAATTTAAAAAAAAAATATAATGTATTTTCCACATCATCTTCCTAAGTCCTAAAGGTCTTTTCACAAATTAAATAAATTGGGTTTTTTTTCCATTCACCTCTATCACTCGTCAGATTACTGACTACCCTCTTTTATCTACCTACTTTTATATCAGCTACAATGTACATTGACCTGTCAAATTATGTAAGTCTAACTAAACAATGACCGTTAATGTTATGGTCATAGCCCGAAGACGTAATAAAAAAATATTAACACAACATAATTTAAGTAAAAAAAAACACACAGAAATTTTAACACAAAGCATTAGATGAAGTCAGAATCAAGTCTAGCATCTTTCAAATCCATACTTTTTTTAAAAATTATTTCTGCACAAACAACAATTCATTGTACAATGGCGGTGTACTTTTGGGTGGTGGAGAAATGCCTGAGTAGGAGCACTAGAAATTAAGTTTAATTATGAAATGATATGGAAATGAGTTTGTTTGTTTGTTACGCTTTCATGCCTAAACCACTAAACCGATTTTAGCAATTCTTTCACCAATGGAAACCTACATTATTAGCGAGTAACATAGTGTACTTCTTTAGTTTAAAAAAGTTCATTGCCTATTTTGTATAACAGTTTGATCACAAAAATTCATTTCACTTTATTTTCCAACTCCAGTTTTAATACTATAAAAACATATTAGAAAAAAAACGTACAAATGAGATAACACATTCAAATATAACGCATAAATATTTTTATTAACAATATCTGTTTTATGGCCAGTTATGTGTAATTGTTTTTTTTACAATACATCTTATATATAAAATTCTCGTGTCACAATGTTCGTTCCGGTACTCCTCCGAAACGGCTTGACCGATTCTCATGAAACTTTGTGTGCACATCGGGTAGGTCTGAGAATCGTCCAACATCTATTTTTCATACCCCTAAATGGTAAGGGTGACCCATCCCAAAATTTTTTTTTAGGCAAAGCAACGTTTGACGGGTCAGCTGGTAGATAATAAATTTAAATCGTATTACACGTTATTATTTAGAAATTATCTTATTGTTTCGCTTTTGATCTTTGCCTTCCTTCTTTTATTTTTACAATGAGTCTGTTATACTTAACTAATTTTAGGTAATTCTTATATTTAAAATAATGTATAAATAGAGCAACAAACAGTTTTGTAACGATTGATTTATTTTATTATATGAAATCATTATTGTTTTAGTGTATTGCGGATTTTTATTGAATGTATTTAACCTTGCCTTAACGTTCTTTTTGATAATAATATTTTTGTTGCGATCGGGGTATATAATAAATAAAAGTTGTCGGTTACTTACTTTACTGCACTGTATTTACAAACACTCACTATAATAAATTAAAAATCACTATATATCTCGTTAGTCGCACTAGAAATTCACTCCGATGTGAATTCGCTGTGTCGTAAAGCGAGACTATCCCAAACGGAATTTTACTGGAAAAATCCCTAGTATTCGATAGTCCATTCCAGACAACAAGAACATTCCAGAATCAGTCACGCGTTACTTGCAGCGCCATCTAGCGCTACTAGCGCATCAGAACTACTGGTATTAACCACAATCTTAATAGATGTACTTTAGTCGATACTAGATGGCGCTGTCCTCCACATTCCATTCAATCCAACCATTTAATGCTATGGCGCACATTATCTTTCATACAATAATATCATCTTCTCATGATAATAATACCAAAAATTTTATTGCAAGGTAAATACGCCTTGTGCAAAACGTATAACGAATATGTTAATTTATATTATAAATATATAAATAAAGACGTTTCGGTATACCTTATTTGTTATTCGTTACTCTTCACTGTTATCCTAACCAAAGCTAACTAACGTTGATTAGGTATAACAATGGGCTATTTTTGAACTTATACTCATCTTTTCATTCAACGTTTAAAGTATAGTGTAGCGCGTTTTTGCATTGGTGGGGCTAAAACTATTGCAGCCATCCGCCGACCACGGTTATAAACTTTCGAATCATCCACAAAGTTAAGAAAAATCCGCGTAACACTTAGAAGTATTTGTAATAAATAACATATGAAGAAATTAATAATGCGGGGCGTTTCGTTGCTAAGCCCTGAGCGATTGAATGCAGGGTTTTCCAACTTACAAACGATAACCTCTATATCTAGCACAAACATTGTGCCTACATCACATCTACATACCGCTTCGTCCTGATCTTCGTGTTATTGCTTTCTCTTCTTACATGTGCAGGTAGTGAGTTTACGCGCGACAACCACCCTTGACAACTATAGGTTGTATTAATGAACTTCAAAACAAGATGTATGGACTGCGCAAAATTGTTGTTTTAAAATATTACTCATCCGTTTTTTGTAATATAAGACAGTGTACCATTCGCATTCGTAGACGGATGTCGTCTCGCTTAATTGCGCAAAATGCGAGGTGTTCAGACGTAAAAAATTGACATGGAACTAGTTAAACAAGTGTGTTCTTCTGTTTTAGTGTTAGTTTTATCTGTATGTTTAGTGTGTAGTCAGTCTGTTAGATCACCGTGTCCTGGAATATTTGATTACGAACGAGTTGAATCCGGAATTCGTGGGAAAATTGTTATAAGACCTGGTGCGCCTACAACGCAGTTAGTAGTGCAGGTTAATTTCACCGTAACTGCACAAATCTTTAATGTAAGTGGTTCCAAAACAATACTTAAGTGTTCACAATTAAGCTCAAGTAACCTTTCAAATATGTGTTCACTTACACATCATTCAAATAACACGAAAGTTACTCAGCACATTGTACCAGGGATCTCCTTCCATCCTTAAGGGTACACCTGGTTGGTTCGAGTCCGACATAACCACCCCACTAGTAGGTGGCATCCATCAAAAAAGGGGGAGACTGAATTGTCAAAGTTAGGCTGTATCTATGTAAAAGTATTTTTAGTCGTGGACCAAAAAATATGAAAATCCAAATATCAAAGTAAAGTAATTTCGTCTTTGGTTCACTAAAAGTTTTGTAAAAAAGTCTGGCACTATTAAACATTCAAAGATTAATTATTATCGTCCCTGTATCAAAATACTAGTACCAACATCAAGTTTGTATTAAAAAACATTTAGAGTAAGCTCTAACACGTACTTCAACAAAAAACTTTGACGTCAAAAATACGTTTTATTTCTACGAACAGTATGTCAAACAAAAAAATTATAGAGTTTACAATTTTGCTATTGTCAGTGTCCCTTTCCTGGTGCTTATGTGTTTTGCCTCTGACCTTTGTGACACGGGTAATTCCAAAACCAAGAAACCTATTACCTAAATTAGCTATTTTTACATTTAAAAATCTTTTCCACCTCCACCACCCCGAACCCGATCGTATTTTACTGAATAGTACTCATAGACTCGACGTAACTGCAGTTAGTTTCATAAAGTTTCATTAATGTGCACCCGGCCAATCAGCGAGATGTTTAGAGAAGCAAAGCAGGGTACGACATAGGAAACGCCCACTTGAGGAGTAACAGGCACGCCTCTTCCAAGACATCTTATTACTTCTCAACTCTATGCTGACTCAGATGGCATTTTTTATGGAATAGGGGCAAACGAGCAGACGGGTCACCTGATAGAAAGCGAATTCACTTTATCATATTCCCTGTATCAGATGTTTTCTCAGTAATTTGTTACAAATATTTCTGTATTTTTTTAATATGTATTCCTCATAGTTATAGTCTATGTCTTTAACTTTTAAAAACCAAATTTATAAAACTGTGCAGTATTTATTTTAGAATTACCAATCTTAGAATCTTAGAATTTGTTTTAGTTAAGTATTTATAATTTGTATCATTCGAATTAAAAAGCATCTAATAATCGATCTCAATATTCTATTTAGTTAGTTTGAACCGGTTTTCATGAAATTTAGCATGGAGAAACTTTGATGATACTCTGAAATCACTTAAATCAGGTTTAATTTTAGATTTGTCTTCCCAATGACTTGTCACTAAACAACACTGATATTATATATATTGTATCTCAGCCTATGCTTGTCCACTGCTGGACATAGGCCATATACAAAATATAATTATATAATTTAGAAAATAGTACATTTTAAATTTGTAAGGAAGTGAAATATTTAATTTGCTAGATATGGCAATGTTGTTGATATCTCCATTGAGCAGTCCATTGAGCAGTCATTGTCACTACACCGACAGTCTATTGACTTTTGACCGATGTCAATGGCATCTCAATAGCATGTCAATGGATAACAGTGGCTTGTACGTTAACACAAAATACGTAGGTCACTATATAAATTTGGTGACACGCAAAAAGTAAATAATACATACTAACAATTGAAATACTGCTCTTTACGGGCGTCCACTTCTGTCATCATCTTCAAGGCTAGTTTTCCAGTCTTTAAATTTGTTAAACCATCTAAAAATGGTTGCTCGAGAAGGAGCAGACTTACCTAAAGCTGATTTTAAACGTTTTGAGCTTAAACCACATTTGAAGTCATAGCACGCAAATGTTAATGTTTAAGGTCCATTTTAGCAAATGAAAAAGCGAGAAATGATGCCAGTAAAAAAATCTTTTTAGATGCGTTCCATTTTCAAATATCAAGTATCTCAACTTACACGAGTATAGTAGGTCGTAGCAGAATTGAGGCCCAGAACAATGCTCAATGCCCAGAGCAGGCCAGGTCAAGTCAAATCTCTTTACAAGTGAATAAAAATGTGACTTTGATAATAGGAAGAATTTAGAATTTTGCAAATGTCTGTTTTAAACCACTTGTAAGGGAAAAGTCGCGGTGACTCCCATAGTCGTGGTAAACTCTGTCCTCGAAGTGTTTGACGAATATGTCTACCTAGGACAAACGGTCCAATTAGGTAAGTCCAACTTCGAGAAAGAGGTCAATCGTCGAATCCGACTCGGCTGGGCAGCGTTCGGGAAATTACGAAACGCCTTCACGTCCAAAATACCTCAGTGCCTAAAGACGAAATGCTTCAACCAGTGTGTTACCAGTGATGACCTACGGAACTGAGACGTGGTCTCTTACTATGGGCCTAATCAGAAAGCTCAGAGTCGCTCAGCGTGCTATGGAAAGGGCTATGCTTGGCGTTTCCCTGCGTGATCGAATCCGCAACGAGGAGATCCGCAGGAGAACAAAGGTGGTCGACATAGCCCAACGGATTAGCGCGCTCAAATGGCAATGGGCAGGGCACATAGCAAGAAGAACTGACGGCTGATGGGGCAGCAAGGTTCTCCAATGGAGACCACGTACTGGAAAGCGCAGTGTGGGACGACCGCTTACCCGATGGACATTTATTATGGATGGATATTTATTCCCCCGCAGCAGCTCTTTTGACCATATTAACAAAAATGTTATTTAAATTGACACTTTAGTTAAAATGTTTTCGTTTGATAAATATATACTATCTATTTAATGAAACCGATTTTTAATTATTTGCTTCAACGAAGGTGGATTTTCTTCTTTGACGTCCATGACATAATAGTACATGGCGCAAAATAACGTTATATTAAAAAAAAAAACTGGCTAGTTTTTCAACGTGATAATGTGATAATTCGGGTAAAAGTATGTTTAAAACAAAAATACTTTGTAAAAAATCGGTTCGTGGCAAGTTTTTGAAAAAAAATCAAACAGGTGCAAAAACGGGTTTATCGAAAAAAAACAATTTTTATGGAAAAACGAAAATAGGAGGTTGTAGTGTGATAAACGAAGAAAATGAGAGTGGCATAAAACAAATTCGTTGGAAACTTTACGAGAAAACACGCTTGAACCCACTAATAACTGAATATAGACCATATTCAGTTCTTAGTAGGTTCAAGGACAACGAAGAACCGAGAAATAAATCTAGAAAATATTGGCTTGTAGTACAATAGTCCTAGTTATTGCAGATTACTAAAATAAGAATGACGAGATTTTCTAGAAAAATAAATAAATTCAAATATTTTAAAAGTAATAAGTAAAATATTAACGATGCAGATCGCAAACAGGTTATTTGTTGACAGCATTCTTCTGCCAAAGATTCTGTGTCCGGTTCCAAAACCAAAAGGTTTTTTTTTTTTAATTCAAAGGAGTCTTTAAAACGAAAGATCTTGTTATTTAAGACGCTCTTTGATTTTTTTAATTCTTTTTTACATTGCCATAAAAGCAGCGGTCTTATCTGTATTAATCTATGTATGGATTAAACTATAGGTACAACTAATGGGTTAGATGTGCAATTGATGAATAGATGACTGAAATTTTATCTTTAAACAATTAACGGGCAAAAAATACACATTAAACAGGAAAAAAAACATTTGATAAATTTAAAACACGGCTGGATACACTTTACCGCTCGATATCCCGTTAGGTTAGTAAATCTGAAGAGATTTTCAGAAATTTCCTTGTTAGGGTATCCCGGGTCCCTTGACTCACTTATGACGGAACACTGTGGTTTAGTAGGTTTAAATCCGACATACAAGACTGCACCTTTCGTTGTGGTGAGAAGACATAGCATGGGAGTTTCCAAGCGAAAAAAAAAATGATATTAAAATAAAAACATCTCGAATTTCTTACAGCCTACTTATTTCTTGTTGCTTAAATGAAATCATGCTTTAAAAGGCTTTTGGATTTTACCTTACTCTTTTTATTTTACTAAAATTATTTAGCTTTTACATTATTTGTAAGTTAAATTGCACTAGTTAATTCTTAAAACTTAAAAAGATCCGTTCCTTATGACAGCTTATCAATAAGGAAAGCACATCCACGATGATTTTCAACTACATTTAAATCACAAAACATTTAAGGTGAATCTGTTTTGAAAATCCCGTAAAGGAATTTTAAATAAACTAATCAATTATGAATGTATACCGCTAATAAAACGATCTAGAATTTGCATTTGAAATCGAAGACGACGTTTAATTATAACTTTATGCAATGCATTAATCAATTTTATTTAAATTAGACTTACCTTTAATAATGAAAATAAATATAAATAAAAGTGTATTTAAGTAACTCAAGAAGTGGAAATGCACAGTTTTCCATTGATATGCAACTTGGTTTCCAAATTTTATTTCATGATTTTTATTGTTAGGATTAACCTTACCGTAGCTTCTAAAGTAATGGGCCAATTTCAATGAATTACATTTTATGAAACCAAAAACAGTATTTAAGAAATGTGTCTAGCAACAAATATATATTTTACTTTGTTGAAGTTCAAATGAATTAATGTTGTTATCCCGGAAAGTGTTACTGTGTTCTCTTAAATATTTCCTTTGTTTTTCACACCACTATTACTTAGCCTTTCATTTTTAAACAACTACAACAAAAGGAAAAGGTTTTCTTAAATTTGTACATAACAACCATAAACAAAAATGAGTCTTGGAAAAGTCTACTGAAACCACACAGTAATTCGTTGTGGAATCAATGAATAAGAAACCCAAGACAAGGTAGTTCTTAAATAGAAAATATTTTTTGGTTTACCCGCAAAGACGATGAGAATCATCAACATTCTAAATTTGAGTTTTAATTGGCATAGACTAGAATAGTGATATATAATTTTATTTTTAAAATACTCAGCAGTTTTTATCTTCTTGATCTTCTTGTCGAAATTTTTATTATAATAGCCGGGCGTATTATAATGAATTTTGGTTTTGTGATTTAGTCTTTATGATACATACATCTTTATCTGTAGGTATATTAAATATATAGTATAAAATAAAGTCGCTTTTTTGCGTTGTACGCTTATATCTTTTAAACTAAGCAACGGATTTTAATGCAATTTTCATCAATAGAGAGGAGAAATGTAAGGTTCATATGTATATATTATAGTAGAGAACATCCAAGAATTTCACAAAGATTTGTCGAAAAAACATGTTTTTGTGCGCTTACATTGCAAACCTCCTTTCTAAGGAGAGGCCTATGTTCAGCAGTGGTCTAAAAAAGGCTTTTGATGATGATCATGATTGCAACGCTAGCCTAAACCTTACGAGATAGACCAAACTATCACGGCATTGTATATCTTAAAAAGTTCCATAAAAAAGTCCACGATTTCATATGAAATAATGTGGATATCCCGGAAAGTGTGTGTTCTCTTAATTATTTCCTTTATTTTTCACACCAAGTTATCTCCTAAGGATAACCAACAGTAACTATTTTTATCTTTTAAATATTACAAACAATAATGGGTTATTTACGAAACTATTTTAAACAACACATTATTATTCCTTATCCAATTAAATACGTTAGATACCCGTACGTTGTGCAACGTAATGTAGATTAAAATGAATATTTTAGAAGATATTTGAGGTTTAAAATGCGGGGGTAAAGCGGCCGTCGCCGCCTCGGGCCCTACGTTCGTCGTAGGTGGCAACTGGCAGCGGCCGGCAGGATCGGAGCGGGACGCGGATACGAGTATAAAAATTGCATAATTTAAAGATGTCCTGTAGGACGGTCCTATCATAGTAATAGTATAATTAATTACTCCACACCGACACCACATTAGTATGAATACATTGCACTCGTGCGAAGCCGGGGCAGATTGCTACTAATATAATATGACAATAAAAAATGCTATAAAAAATGCATATTTATATTCAACAGTGTTCAGTTTTAATCTCATCTTGAAATTTATGTATGTTATTTTGTATTTTAATTTAAATAACTTGATTTAAACTCTTTAGAACGTTATGGCATTCGAATAACAACGTATAATATCAAATTTATTTATTCTACTTAATTCTTTAGACATTTATTTTTCTTAGAGTTCACAATGACGGTCGATTTTCGATCATTTTTGAATGTGTTGTTTTAGTTCACCAACCAGTATGGCTGCCATGACAGGACAAAATATAGGTACACTGGATTGGTAACCCTATTACATAACTTGTTACTGTATAGTTCTCACTTAGCTTTCTGCATTTCTTCTACATAAGCTTTAGGTATTTAAAATTTCAATTTTTTTTTACTGTGCTCGTTTGCTTAAAAATACCCACAAAGAATTCGCCTCACTTATAAAGATGAATTTCTTTTTTTACTTTTTCGCTCCATACCATGGCCGCAATCATGGGTCCGGCCATCGCAGTGGTGACACCCAAGTTTTGGCTCTTTGCGGATCAGACACAGGTGATCCCCGAAGCATCCCTTCCCGGTGATCACCTGCGTCAGCCGGTATGAGAGGGTCGCGTGATGCATCTCGAGCCAATCCTCCATAACGGGTCTTACCGCCGCAATAACAGCGTACGGTTGTCCAAGTCATTCCTTCCACTCCTCCACGAGGATCTGGCGGAGTTGGGATTTCTAATCCTCGATCTCGAGTCTCAGGACTCCGACCCAACTCCCGCGCCTCCTTGCGCCACTGATACAGAGCCACCGTGGGACCTGGAGGCGAGACCTCCAGGTCCCACGGTGAGCAAGTTATGCTTGCGAAGGAGACGGCAGATTGGGACCGGGAGAGATTGAGAACTCTTCCGGTTCACCAGGCCCGGGCACGGGCCAGGTACCGCGGACGACTAGGTGCCAGAGATCACCTCCGTTGCCGACAGGTGGGGCCATCTGTCACCTTAGCAAAAGAAGGCCAGGTTGGCGGCGCGGCGCGCCCTTTGGTTTGTGGAATGGGAGCACCGTGGTTCCCACACACGAGGGGGTCATCTACATATCGTAGATGGCCCGGGGTACGTCGTGGTTCCAGGAATTTCCTTCCTAGGGTACACCTGGTTCCCCGGCTACTGGGACCTGAGATGGCGTGCGGTGTTTAGTCCGTTAGCATCCGACATAACCACCGGCGGGTGGTATCCGAGGGGATTTCCGCACAGAAAAAAAGAGGTGATACTTTTCTAAAAGTTGATAAAGTTGCATTGACTATATTTCTATTTCGACACCATAAATTATCCTCTCTCCTACTTATTCACCTCTTTTTCACTCTAGAGTAGTTTAATATAATACTAAAGGGTTGTGTTATAGAGTCGTGCACTGCGTAAAGTACTGAATTACTTTCGATCCTGACTTCATGATGTGTTTCAGCCTTTTTTTTATTTGCGATCTTAAGTTACACTCTGGTATACAAACTTTTTGGTTCATAAAGCTCTTTAAACTGTTTAGTTATATCCTATTTACATTATCAGAGCAAGTTTAGTTGTCTTTTCTCTTTTTTCGGGCTTTTAATCCGTCACACAACAATCAAATGTCGAAAGACCACATACACCTTCACCCACTCAATGAGGAAAAGATATGAAACTTTTGCAATTTTTTTCCTGCTATTCTATGTACGTCATAAGGAACTTTCTCGCAGTTCTTTAATCGATCAATCTTCTTATACGCTTATGGAATGTCCAGTAAAATTAGATTCTCTTTATTAAACGTCTAAACTTGCTATGTTAGTACATTTATTACTCTATGTTACTTTCTCTTGTTAGTTGTTTATTACTCTATGTAAGTGGTTTAGTCGTGAAAGCGTAACAAAAAAACAAAGAAATAGACAAACAAAGAAGCAGACAACTCTCTTTCACATTTATACGAGTAATATAAGTATAGAAGTATGAATTTTTTACTACTATTAGTTTAATTTTTTCGAAGAAAATATGACTCTTATTGGATTCAAGGTCTACTTTTTTATTTCCAGAACTACTATGGCAGTTTAAATCAAGTGAACGAGAGGTTTGCCCTCCAGAATTACAACCAAGGATCGCCGATGGTGTTCCATGTTACCTTACCAATGATGTCACCACTTCCCAAGGTAACTGCGATTACAGTCAACGGTCAAACAATATGCAGAGGACCCGGAGGTAATACCATGTTTCTCTATTTTGTACAACAATATAATTTAACCCTCTCCTAAGCGCTTTACATCAGGCGGTTCTTAAGCTTGTGTGGGTAATTATTCTAACACTAATATAATTAAGACCTTTCATATATACTCTTGAACATTTCATGATTATACTTGTCTGAAAAATAAAAGCCTGAAAGTATTAATTTAAAAACCTACATTGTTCCCGGTTGTCAAGCTTTCTCTCAACTGCTCGACCAATCCTTATGTAATTTTGTATAAATATTATGTATGTATAATATGTCCTTTTCTATAAAATGGGTGACGTTTTATAGAAAAGGACATATTTGCATTCCGAAACAAGTACAGTTCGATAGACGTTGGGATAGAAAAAATTGCCGTGATTAAAAGCTAAAAGGCCGGCAACGCGTTTGTGACTCCTGTGCTGCAGACGTTCATGGGCGGCGTTTGTCACTTTCTATCAGGTGAACCGTCTGCTCGTCGCTCTAACATAAAAAAATAAATAAATAAAGTACGAAGCTTTTACTCATTGATATACTCAGCAACTCTAATCATCACATCAAGAGCCTTTAGTAATCCACTGCTGGACATAGGCGTCTCCTTGGAGAGGAGGTTTTGGCCTACTACACCACGCTGGCTAGACGGGTTGCTATAGGGTTTGTGTCAAGTTGTCCTTCTCTTGGCAGTGCTGTTGTCCTGCGTAGTTTTCTCCCTTAGTCGGCTCTTACGACACTCACGGGATAAATATGGGTGGTGACACTCTGTATTCTTATTCCGTCACCACACGGAAAGCTTCTAAATAATTAAAAAGTACTCAGCAACTAAATAATTATAACACTGCTAATTACTACATCACATCACATCAGCAGCCTTTAATAGTCCACTGCTGGACATAGGCCTCTCCTTAGAAAGGAGGTTTTGGCCTACTATACCACGTTGGCCAGACGGGTTGGTATAGGGTTTGTTTCAAGGCACCAGGCAGAGCCTCTTGTAATGTGCGCTGCGGACGATCGCCCGCGCGGCTGCGACGGACTTGCGGCGCACGTTCCTTGGGCTGCCATCCTGAACCTTACGCGGTTTTAGTTGGCGCGGAGGCCATGGAGGCGGAACGAAGCGACAGCCGGAAACGCGGACGCTCCAGGGACGAGGAAACGGATACGTCCCAAGAAATGATGCCACCAAAGGTGGCAAGCAGCCGCCGAGGGAGGCAACGTAAACCGGCCTCGGCCTCGGTCTCGACCCCGTCAGGCTCCGCGTTCTCAAACGCGGAGTCCTACAGAAGTGTACGGGTGGACGGCGAGGCCGTAGCGGAGGAGGAGATCGCGGATCTCCTGCTCAAGGTTCGGGAGCCGGTGGGGGGAAATGCCCCCCAGGCTCCCGTGTCCGTGCAGGAGAGGGCGAAAGCGGCGGTGGCCGTCATCAACAAGGTGGCCACCAAATCCGTGAACCTTAAGGGCTCGTTTGTGAGGGCCCTTAAGGACTCCTCCTCCGCTTTGTCGGAGGTCGTGGAGGGCCTAGCGGGCGACGTCTCTCGCCTGCAGGTGGCCAACGAGAAGCTGACGGAGCGGGTGAACGAGCTGAGCGCTCAGTTCGCCCGCTTCCAGGCGAACCTCCCCGAGCGGGAAGCCCCGTCCGCGTCCCAGCCTGCCCCTACCACCAGCTCAGGGGCATTTGACTCCCAACTGCGAGAAATCCTCATCGCAGTTGGGAATATGCTGGACGGACGCCTGGCTGGCCTGGAGGCGAGATTGCCTCCTGCGCCGATTATGCGCCCCCCGCTCGCGTCGGCACAGCGGCCTAAGGCCGCCGCTCCGACCGCGCTCCCCGTTGTGGGAGGCCGCGTTTCTTACGCGGCGGCGGCGTCTGCCCCTACTCCATCGGTTCCACAAAAGCCGAGGAGGGGGGCCAAGGCACCGGCCCAGGCGCCGGCCAAGGCACCGGCTAAGGCGCCGGCCAGGGCGCATCCCCAGGCGCCGGCCAAGACGGGGCCTAAAACGGCGCCGAGGAGCGGAGTGGCATTCCCTCCGCTCCCCACTCCGACACCCCTGCCGGGCCCCTCCGCACCTGCCCCCTCCAACGAGGGCTGGCAGGAGGCGAGGGGCTCCAAGAAGTCCCGAAGGCGGGCCAGAAAGGCTGCCCAAAAAGCAGCCCAAGCCCAGCCTTCGCCACCGGTGGCAACGGCCTCTGCAAAGAGGCCGCGGAAGCTGCAGCCGCCCAAAACCGCGGCTGTAGTGGTGACCGTGTCCCCGGAGGCGGCGGACGGCGGGCTGTCCTACGCGGCCGTCTTCAAAAAGGCCCGGGACAGCCTCGCCAACGATTTTGGAACGGTGGGGGTCAGAATGCGCCTCGCCCAGACGGGAGCTCGAGTCCTCGAGTTCCCTGGGGCTGAAGGCGCTAAGACGGCGGACACATTTGCCGAGAAGCTGCGGGGACTCTTTACAGCCACGGATGGTGTAAAGATCGCCAGGCCTACTAAGTGCGCAGAGCTGCGCATCTCGGGCCTGGACGACTCTGTGACGGCCGAAGATGTCCGCGCTGTAATCCGGGAGAAGACGGGGTGCAGCGCGGACGTCAGGGTCGGCACCATCCGCCCCGGTCCAGGAGGGCTTGGCGCCGTGTGGGTCAGCTGTCCCGTAGCGTCGGCCAAAGTATTGGCCGACGCTACGGTAAGGAATACGACGAGTAAGGAACTGGTGTGTCCTGGAAGAGGTTGAGACGCTCTCGGATCACCTGTATATCCGATTTGAGCTCTCCCGGACCCAGGACTCCAGTAGGGGTCACGTGGCGCGGCGTTTATCCCGCTTTCCGCGGTGGGCTGTTGCCAGGCTGAACCGGGACCTACTAGAGGAGGCAGCCATAATTCACTCGTGGCTGTCTCCTCAGGCTCCGACCGAGGAGGTCGACGTGGGGGCTGGCCGCTTTCGCGATGCGATTACGCATGTATGCGATGCGGCCATGCCCCGCGTTCGAGGTCGTCGGCCTCCAAGGAAGGAGGTCTACTGGTGGTCCCAGGAGCTGGCGGACCTCCGTGCGGCCTGTACACGTGCCCGGAGGTCCTACACGCGCAGTCGGCGGCGTCACCGTGGAGACGGTGAGGAGGACCGGCTTCATGAGGAGTACCGACGGGCGCGGAAAACTCTGAAGCTGGCCATTAGCCGCGCCAAAGAGGAAAAAAGACAGGAGATGCTGGAGGGTCTTAATCGTGACCCCTGGGGTCGCCCTTACCGCGCGGTGCGACAAAAGCTCCGCGCGTCGGGCCCCCCCCTTACGGAGACTCTCCAGCCCAGCTTCCTGCGAGAAGTGGTTGAGGGCCTTTTCCCACAACGGGCGGAACACACTCCCCCGTCGATGGCCTCCCTGGCCGGAGACGACGGGGAGCACGGGGAGGACAATGTTCCGCCCGTCCGGGAATCGGAGGTAGGGGCGGCTGTTCTACGGATCCGTTCCAAGAACACCGCCCCTGGGCCAGACGGGGTACCGGCCCGAGTGCTGGCCCTGGCCCTCAACCACATGGCAGACCGCCTCGGGGAGGTGTTCGACGCTAGCTTGGCGTCGGGACGCTTCCCTGAGTGCTGGAAGAGCGGGAAGCTGGTCCTACTGACGAAGCCGGGACGGCCTGCCGATTCGGTCGCGGCCTATAGGCCCATCGTGCTGCTGGACGAGGCGGGCAAATTGTTTGAGAGGGTTCTTTCTGCCCGCATCGTCCGGCACCTCTGCGAGGTGGGCCCCCGATCTGTCGGACGCCCAATTTGGTTTTCGGGCGGGGCGTTCGACAGTCGACGCCGTGTTGCGCCTGAGGGCCGTGACCGAAGAGGCCGTGAGCTGTGGCGGCGTGCTGTTGGCGGTGTCATTAGACATCGCCAACGCATTCAATAGTCTGCCATTCAGCTGCATCAGGGAAGCACTCCACTATCATGGGGTGCCAAAGTACCTGAGGCGGCTGGTGGCAGACTATTTAGAGGAGCGTACCGTCGTGTACGAGGACCGAGAAGGTAATCTGAGGTGTCGGCCCATGTCGTGCGGTGTTCCACAGGGGTCTGTTCTTGGACCCCTCTTGTGGAACATAGGGTACGACTGGGCCCTTCGCGCCGATTTCCCCCCCGGGCTGGGTGTAATCTGTTACGCAGACGATACCCTCGTGACAGCCCGGGGGGCAAACTTCCAAGAGGCGGCGCGCCTGGCCACAGGGGGAGTCTCCCTGGTGGTCGGGCGCATTGAGGCGCTGGGCTTACGGGTGACCCTAGATAAGACGGAGGCCCTGTTATTCCATGGGCCCCGTCGTGGTCCACCCCCTGGCGCCTCAATAGTGGTCAACTCGGTCCTCGTACCGGTTCGGGCCCAGATGAAATATCTGGGCCTGATCCTCGACGGGAGGTGGCTCTTCGACGAGCACTTCCGACAGCTTGCTCCAAAGCTGGTCGGCGCTGCGTCTGCCCTAGGGCGACTTTTGCCCAATATGGGTGGACCCAGCGTCGCGACAAGACGGCTGTACACGGGGGTTGTCCGGTCAATGGCACTGTACGGTGCACCGGTGTGGGCGGCGGCTCTGACCGCCCAGAATAGGGTACGCCTCTGGCGCCCTCAGAGGGTAATGGCGGTCAGAGCCATACGCGGTTACCGCACCGTTTCGACGGAAGTGGCGTGCGCATTGGCCGGAACTCCCCCGTGGGATTTGGAGGCGGAAGTGCTCGCCGAAGTTTATCGGCGAGTGGCTGACTTCCGGGCGGAGAGCGGATTTCGCCCTCCGCCCGAGGATGTGCGCGAGTGGCGCGAAGCCGCTCGCCGAGCCACGATGGCTCGTTGGTCGTTCCGGCTGGAGACTCCACGCGCTGGCTTCGCCGCCGTGGAGGCTCTCCAGCCGGTCATCGCCGAGTGGGCAGGGCGGCAGCACGGGACCCTTTCCTTCCGACTGACGCAGGTGCTTTCCGGGCACGGTTGCTTCGGAAAGTACCTGCACACGGTCGCTAGGAGGGAACTGAGTCCCGCCTGCCACCACTGCGACTGCAGTGAGGACTCGGCCCAGCACACGCTGGCGGTCTGCCCCGCATGGGCGGCGCAGCGCCGGGCCCTCACTGCAGTCATCGGAGTGGATCTCTCGCTACCGGCCGTAGTACGCTCCATGGCCGGTAGCGACAGTTGTTTTACCGCGGTCGCAACCTTCTGCGAGGTAGTAATCTCGCGGAAGGAGGCGGCGGAGAGGGCCCGGGAGGACGACCTCCACTCGGACCCGATCCGCCGCCGGCGAACCGGGCGGCGGAGGCCCGCCTACCACAGCCTCATGCCGCCCTGAGTGTGGCCGCGGGTGGACGGGGTGGGTTTCCCCTCCACCCGCATTAGTTGGCCAGCCGCGAGGGGGCGGCGTCCGCGTGTGCCGGACGTCGCCTAAAGAGAGGAAAATGTATTGAGACGGAGCCCGCACCAGGAGCGGGCTGGCGCTAGGAGGGGTCCGGATGTCTTAACAACAGCTGTTCCCGGATCCCTCCTGTTACAGGCGCAGAGTGGCACACCGTGTGGTTTTAGTCGGTCCGAGTCCGACACACCACCCCGTCGCAAACCCCGGAGGGGTGACGGTCCGAGGGGATTTCCACACGTTAAAAAAAAAAAAAAAAAAAAGGGTTTGTTTCAAGTTTTCCTTCTTTTGCAGTGCTCGTGTTCTGCGTTGTTTTGCGCCCTTAGTCGGCTCTTACGATACCCACGGGTTGAATTGGGGTTGTGACATTCTGTATTCTTAATCCGTCACTACACGGACTAATTACTAGGAAACTACAATTTTCGTCAATTTTTTTTGAAGTCTTGGAATTTCTTCCTAGGAATTCTAGATCTCTAGAAAACATGGGAAAGAACTTCCTTTTAAAGGAAGGATTATCTACTAATAATTACCTACAAATTAACTTATCCAACAGGAACTGTAGTGTCAGCGTTTTTAAGTACTAGTAACGCTCAATTATTATGAAAACACGCTTAATGTTTATATGCTACAGTAATAATATAAAATGAGAGAGAAATACCCGGCTTTAAAATCGAGTGACGATTAATAGATTCTTTAGATTGTTGTAGTTTCCTTTATAAAAGCTACAATTACACAATTAAAGATGTATACCAAGGTCTCACCAACACTTGTACATAGATCCGTACAGCGCGACGGCTGCCGCCCGTTTTTACACTAAACGTCAATCCACGTGGTATTTTAGGTTAAGTATTGAACTATGATATGATAATAAATTTATCGTAAATAGATTGTTATTTCAGGAATTAAGTTATAATAATTAAATTACGGGAATAAATTAACTAAGTATAACCGGATCGTTCCAAAACCTCTTAGCTTTTTACCGGCATCGGCTCCATTTAAGTAGTTGCACCGATATATTATTATATAATAGTTAGTAACTGTCAGTTAAAAAAGAGAAATCTGAACGATGATCAGGTTTTCGCAAGAAATCGTATTTGCAGAGCACTGTGTTTACACAGGTAGTTTTGAAAAAAATAACAGTATAACCACCATTAACCAGCTACGCTTTTTAAGAGAGCAATATAACAAATTTATATATAAGTATATGTGTGATTTTGTTAAAATTGTGTAACGGCAAACACGTGTTATTAGATTTGACCAACGAGTGCGTGAATTTATAGAGTTTGTCGTTAGATGGTAATATTACAAGTTCTAAATGAACACAGATCAACATATTTCGACAAATAACAGTGGTACTATTAACGAATAATACCTAGATCACTTTTTTAGGTCATGTTAATGTTGTTTATGAAAAAGGGGACATTTCAGATATTACAAATCAAATGCGACTATGACTCGCTCGTTTTTTTCTTGACCCTCCAATGTAATGAATACCGCAAGTGTCCTGCATATCAGACGTAGTGTTACAAATAGTACGATTTGATAGTGTATTAATATGTATGATATGGTTATACTCGTACTAAAAAAAAATACCGTTGAAGGTCGAGGGAATCCCTGCTAAATGAAGTAGCTGACGACGTTTCCCCCTTATAGAATGATGTCATTAGTACAAGGTCTTTATGCCAATATGTAGTAAAACAGGAAAATAAAATGACTGTGATGCAAAATAGCGAGGTCAAAACGTAGAAAATGTGACCAACGCACACATACAAACATGAACATAATCTAAGTAATGTCGTGCCTTGTATGTAGAAAAGAATAAGACAAGCGCTATTAAAATATCTGGGTATATCAGTCGGTTTCTGTAAATCAAAACTTTTCAACTTCTTCTTTATCTAACTAGCATCTTTCAGATACCCTTCGGCCAAACCGATACCTCACGACCTTCAGTTTGCAGCATACTTCGTACTTCCAGGGAGGGGCACAGGTGCTGCCGCCGATACAGCCGTATCAACCAAATGGCGGCTCACAAGATTACGACACTCAAGACAATACCTATGATGGTATGTATAATTCTTTAAATACCTAAGAGTAAGATGGTCGGTACATTTCTAAAAACTCTTTGCCAATTGATTTTTCATCAAAAAACTAAACTTGAATGAAAATAAATATGGTATAAGGTGGCAAACAAGCAAACGGGTCACCTGATGGTAAGTGAATACCGCTGCCCATGGACGCCTGCCACAGGGTAAAAAAAAGGGAGGGGGGGAGCAGAATTAAGGGTCCGGGAAAGAATTGCTTAAAGCCAGTTTTGTATGGGACCGTAGTGTATTTGAATGATGATAAAAAAAAAACACATATTTCATAGATATTCTTCTTTACATACAGTGAATTCTTCAAGCCATCCCGTATACCAACCAAGTATACCAGCATATGAAACATCTCGCAGACCTAACCCAATTGTGAACCAAAACTTGTACTATCCAAGTTATGAGGAAACAACGCAAAGACCTTATAAACCTCAGACTCGACCTCAGAACCGACCTCAGACCCTACCGCAGGCACCTATTCAAGAGATACCACAATACTACCCTCCAGTAGAGGAGGTATACCAAACACCAGAACCTGTCACGACAGAGAGGTAATAAACTGAGAAAATATAGCCTTTTCATATGTATATATACATCAGTTTTTAAATGAAGTTATTACACATATGTGCTAGAATATAATAATATTTTCGGACATCTGATACACAACGCCATCTAGTTTCAAACTAAGCAGAGCTTGTACTATGAAAGCTAAGCTAAGCTAATATATATATATAGAAATATTCATAGCACCGAGGCTGTATTTAAATAAATACTGCCTCGGTGATATGTATTTGCGAAAAAAGCATGTAAGTATTCTATCAATCAATCTAGCTTTCATATATATATTTATATATATATATATATATATATATATATATATATATATATATATATATATATATATATATATATATATATATATATATATATATATATATATATATATATATATATATATATATATGTATATATTAGCTTAGCTTAGCTTTCATAGTACAAGCTCTGCTTAGTTTGAATTCAGAATTCATTTCAGTTCCATAATTGACACTGAATTTTAGTAATTACTTGATTTAAAAAAAAACGTGGCAGTGAAAATTAAAAATGTAGAATGGTCTGACTATATTTAAATCACTTTTATCTATTTTTCATTTATAATATATATACTAACCTTTTAAAACTCATCAGTTTTATGTACCCCACTCAAAAAGAGATTTACCAACATTTTGGCGCTAAAAAACACGCACATAGACAAATACAGCCATTTCATTTAATAAAATCGGTATATCCGTGTAGTATTACTTCATAAAATTGACAAAATTCATAACACTACTCACACGCACACACACCCAAAAGTACTAACACACACACTTAGGTATCGACATACACACATATACCTAGGCCAAAATTATAACCCTTCTTTAGAATTCCCTAGAGGTAGATTCAAAATTATAAATAGAGCTTAAGAATAACTATACGTATATTAACGAGAAAAACACTTTTTAGAGTAGTACAGAGGCCTCAACCTCAATCTCAACCTCAAACTTATGCTGAATGTGGAACGAGGTCCAGCAAACTGGATAAACTTGCACTAATTTACGGTGGGGAAGACTACCAAAGGGGAGACCAGCCCTGGTTGGTCGCTATCTATAAGAAAAGTGGCAGTAACCTTAATTTTAAATGTGGTGGTACTCTTGTCTCAAACAGACATATTGTCACCGGTAAGTAAATATTAATTTACTGTAGCAATAATCGTGTTCTCTTTATACTAAAAGTTAATATCTTAATACTGTCAATGTACAAAATCAATAATAGGATCTTTTACATTTTTTTTTAACACTAGTGCAGTTGTGTGCCATAGAAATATGCCGATAGCACATGACCGTAATATTCCTTTCCAAAGTAAACAGTTTCCAAAGTCGGATTAGCAGTTTCAGAGGTAACCTCCATATTAAAAACTTTAACCTCTATAGGTATAATCTTAATAAAAATTCCCACGTTCTTCTGTTTTCAAGTTGTTTGTTCAAAATACAAAAAAGTTGGTTTCAAAATTTGTAATTAAGTAAATAAACTATTTATATTTTCAGCGGCTCATTGTATGTGGTTAGGCGCAGACAAATCTGCAGTGCAGGACATGATTGTGAAACTGGGAGTGCACCGGTTAAGTGACTGGGAAGATGACATCGTGGTCACTAGGAGTCTGATTGATGTGAAAATACATGAAGAATATGATTCCAATTCGTTTAAAAGTGAGTTTGATATATTAATACCTATAATTTATCATTTGTACAAAAGATGGCTAAATCTTTCGGCGTTCAAAGCGAATTCCTGTCTACCCTCAAAAAAATAGTCCAAATCTAAGTTTTCATTAGATTCAGCCAGAATCCTATCAGGATTTTGCGAAAATAAATGCTTCAATAATCTTTTATTAATATAATCATATGGAATAATATTTAATTGGTTGGATACGCCTGCCCTATCCTTAAATCAATCCTGGCTGCAAACTTGGGTCTAACCTGCAACCCTTTAAGATACCTTCGCTTTAACTTATTACCCTATTAATATTGTTTGAAGTCTCTACAACAAAAGTAAAAATAAATTTATATTTTCAGATGACATTTCAGTGCTAATTTTGAGCAAAGAAGTGAAATTTAACACGTATATACGACCAGCTTGTCTATGGGATGGCAATAATGCTCTTGAACAAATTGTCGGGTCTTCTGGAGTTGTAAGTGTTTTATTGTGTGTCTTATTATCAGTTCAATCCTCAGGTAGTGTTATTGCTTTGAAAGATCAGTATTATAAAGTGGGAAAAACGCAAACCGGGACTTGTTTAATAGAAAAAACTTGTTTACTGATTATTAAAAAAAACGAAGGTACATAAGACATCTGTAATTTTTTAGACCCCGTAGTGGTTTAAGTGGTTACCTCGCCGCTGCCTTCTGTGCTGAGTGTTGTGGGTTCGATCTCCACACGGGCCAACATTTTGTGTGATCCACGAATTGTTTTTCTGAGTCTAGGTTCTCTTTGTGTCCGTTTCACGTATGTTTTAAAGTCCCCCGAAACACAGGAAATATTCCAAGTGCGGAAGTGGCCTTTAAAAAAAAATTAAGTTCTCAATTTGCTTTTATTTCAGTTATGAACAAATTTGTAAAGCTACATTGTTATTTGTGAAGGTATTCCTACTTCCCGTTTGATCCAGTCTAATTAAAGGAAAAAATTCTACGCCTAAAGGTTCCACCGGTGAGGGTGAAATTTTTGTGATTGAGGCGCGAAGAATGCATTTTATTACTATGTATCATGACATTGCAATCGTTGAAGGTTTTTTAACAGATGTTTTTTATAACTCGTATTGTATCCGAATCCAGGTGGCAGGTTGGGGTGAACAGAGCAGGCAAGGTGGTGGAGCCGATATGCCTCAATTGGTGCGCTTGCCCATCGTCAGAACTGAAAAGTGCCGCGCTAGTAAAGAGTCATTCGTCGAGCTCACCTCTGACAAAACTTTTTGTGCAGGTACATTTAATTGTAACAATCAGTTATACACAGAATAGGGCTTGGATTTATTACGCATCTGTTATATTATTTTTTATCATACTTTTCTTTAACATTAAATTATTAGTATCAAGACCGTAAACACGACAGTACAACGCAGCTGGCATAATATCATTAGCTATTTCTATGGTTCTATATTCTATGGTTTTATATTCCACTGTATGTTTTTTTTTAACCAAATGAAACTAATGAATTTAATTAATTTATTATTTTTCTAAAATTTAACTGTAATTGAACGGCTGTCACGTCTTTCACTGGACTAGGTGATCATACCTGGCCGGCCGTGGCCCAACAGTTGATGTTGGGAGTTTGTATATGAGCATTTTATTGTGTTGCGTCAAACAATAGCTTTATGAAAAAAAAGAAATTGTTCAAATTTTTCAATATCGGACTTAATGCCACAGGCATTTTCTAACAGTTTAAGGTGATGTAGAAATAAGGAACTAGGTGCACTAGATTTAACTGAAACAAAATAATATACGAGTTAGTAAGAAACAAAAAGACGCATACGTCATGTATGTGATTTTGATCGGAATTAAATTGAAACTTTGCACACTTATCAAGGACCGATGACAAAGCAATAAATTAAATAGTTTGTGAAATTCCCCTGATCAATTCCCCTCTCTTTTGTAGCGAGCCGAGCTAAAAAGTAGTTAAAAAAAACATTTTATCGTAAAAAAACGTGGGTTCAAATAACTTTACTTTTACCAATATCTGTTAGTAAAATATTATACAACAACTGAGATTGAGCTTTTTATTTTTGAAATTATAGAAAATTATTTCTGAATAAAACTCTACACTTGCACTTAATGAGTCTTATAGAGTTTATGTCGGTTATGGCGGTAAATAGAAGCCTATGTTACTCGCACATAATGTAAGTTTCCATAGGTGAAAGAATTTTTAAAATCAGTTTAGTGGTTTAGGCGTGAAAGCGTAATAAACAAACTCACTTTTACATTTATAACATAAGTATTGATAATATGGATTTGTATTAAATGAATATGTTTTCTCTCTTTCATTTTTACAGGCGATCACAACGGCGTGGGTCCCTGTAGAGGAGACTCTGGTGGTGGCCTGTATTTATTAGACGGAGTGAGGTGGAGACTCCGTGGTATAGTCTCCGTATCTCTCCGGGGTCTAGACGGTGGATGCAATCTGAACGAGTACGTCGTATTCACGGACACAGCGAAGTATTTGCCTTGGATCAATAAAGTTTTATCAACGAAATATTATGATTAAATAGTCAAAAATGGATTTGATGAGTCAAACAATATTTCTGTTAACATACGACCAAATAACGTAGTATGACGTGTGAGTCATGACTTAAGAGACTGATTTCAATTCTCTTTAGCTTCTATTTTTCTAATACTCACTTTAAGAATATTTAATACTAATAAAGCAGATTTATACCGTTTAACTTGTGTTAGATTCACCTAAATACCAACAGGGCCTCAATTCTGCTATTTTATGTTCACGCCAAGCCAGTGTCATACCACTGACACGCTATTGAGATGCCATCGAGTGGCCATTGGCATCGGTATAAATATCGGTAGTTAAAAATATATTACGTTTTTGAGGAAATGATTTTTTTTATTATAATAAATTATTAAAAGAAATAAATAGATAATTAAAATAAAATAATAAAAAAATATTAAAATTAATAAATAATTGCCTTATAATTTGAAAATATATTACGTTTTTGATTAAATTATATATTTATTTTTATTATAATAAATAAATAAATTAATATAAATTATGAAAAATTAAAATATAAAAATTATAAAAAAAAAGAAATAAATAAATTATTAACATAAAAAAATTAAATTAAAATAATATTGAAATAAATATATTTTCAAATTTTAAGACATGATTTGTTTATTTAATTTTTTATTTTTTTTACTTCTTTTTTTTATACTTTTATTTTTTTAATAATTTAATTCAATTTATTTATTTCTTTTACTAATTTACTATTATAAAAATAAATAAATAATTTCCTCAAAAAACGTAATATATTTTCAACTACCGTATTTATAGGTATAAACCTATGCCAATGGCCACTCGATGGCATCTCAATAGCGTGTCAGTGGTGTGACAGTGGCTTGGCGTAAATAGCAGATTTGAGGCCTAGGTCATCTGTTTATTGTATTGAAGAATGATTTATGTTCTTTATATATATACATATTTTGATAGAAGTTTACATTTTAGTAAATGTTATTGTAAATACCTACTTCACCACCGCAGTCCAACTACGAAGTTCCAATCTGATGCAAGCCAAACAGTAAATTACCGAAATAATGTTTCTGTATATAAAAATCAATTCCTTGTTTTTTTATTACGAAAAGAATCATGTCATTGTCTACACCCAATTTATTTGGAACCACTGAATAAATCTGTTAAACGTAATATACTCGTAATATCCATCAAACGGGACCAAATCGCAGGAAGAGACATCAGCAAAAGTCGGTTAAGAACAATGTTGAATGTAAAACATATTAAATGTTTATTAACTGAATAAGTATTTTATTATGATATTAAGAATATTTCACTCACATCTTAAACTTAAACGTACAGTACGTTTAAGTTTAAGATTTAGAATCCACCATTGACTACAATATGAGTGTATGTTGTCCGTGTGGTGACGGATCAAGAATATGGAGTATCGCTACCCCTATTCACCCCCTAGGGTGTCGTAAAATTCGACTAAGGGAGCACACTGCGCAGGATAACAGCACTGCAAAAAGAAGAAAAACTTAAAACAAACCCCCCGTCTGGCCAGCTTTTTATAGCAGGCCAAAACCTCGTTTTTAAAGAGAGGCCTATGTCCAGGAGTGGACTTTTAAAGGCTGTTAATGTGATATGTTTGTATGTTTTCTGTAGGAATGGGGGGGGGGGGAAGCAGCAGTCAAGTCACCTGATGGTATATTGACTATCCCCGTTTATGAACAACTGCAACTCAAAAGACGTTGTCGACAAGTGCGTTGCTTCACTCATAGTGTAGTTACCTGAATTAATGGTATGTTGATGGTTGGGCCTCTATATTTTCTAAATATATAATAATACAATACTGGTGTTAAGTATTGTATACCTTTGTAATGTCACTACTGACCACTAAAGATATGCTTTCAATACGTGTACCAAATTGACGGATGTTTGCATACCTACTACCTCAAGCAAGATTCCTTCCCGATGAGTAAGTGCTTTTTGTTTTCTAAAAGTCTAATTCTCGTTATACAAGTTCGGTCACCATTCAGTTCCGATCAACTCTCGATCTCGCAACTATCATAAAAGTTATTTTCGTAGTGAAATAGTAAATTTTTGGTTACAATACGATATAATCACATTACAGTCAACGTTGGATGTATAATACTTTACTACGGTTTCATCATATACCATTTTTGACAGTTGTGTGATGGAACGTTGATCGGAACTGAATTATGACAGACTTTTAATTACAAGAATTGGTGCTTTGGTACGATTGGCCTATGTCCTGTAGCAAGTTTGTGTGCAACACAGGACTAAAAGCGAATAAACGACTACTACCTACTACAACTATCGACTACATTGAGTACTTCGACTACCACCTGGACAATAGCGAACTATTGACTTTGAAACCGATTTTCAAATATTTAAGACATTTCAAACCATTTCTACTTTTTATTGCTCTCAGTGTATGTACAGTATTTTTTGGACAGACTAAAAAAATTCGAGTTTCATTCATTCTGACAATAATTTTCGTAAAGTTTATAAGGTTCTTTGTTACGATTGTTAATGTAACCGAATACCGTAAATTATGGGTTTTAAAAACACGTTTTAGACACCATTTGGGCATACCTGTTTTGTTTGTACACGAATTATAGTAGTAGCGATGTTTAACAAAACCAGTTGCAGCAATAATTAAAGATTACGTGATAACTCATTATAAAAACTTTTGATTTACATAAATACGTTTGTAATTATGCAAATGTTATTGAAATAAGTCACAAACTCAAACTTACCCCTTTTATTTCCCTGCTGCGGAAATCCCCTCGGATACCACCAATAGGTGGCATGTCGGACTCGAACCGACTAAAACCGCACGCCGTCTCGGGTACTAATAGCCGGGGAACCAGGTATACCCTAGAAAGGAAGTCCCTGATGCCCGGCTCAAACTTACCCCTAATCTTATGTTTGAAAGTTTACGTCAACAACTTAAAATTATCCAGTTTCGTTTAAATATTAAAAAAGTTGTTTATATTTTGCTAGGAATTTACAGATGGTATAAGGTATTGCTTTTATTTTACTAAAGCCTTTTTCTTATCTTCATCATTTTAATATTCACATTTTGGTAATATAGTATTATATCTTAATAGCCTATATCTTAAAAGGCAAGCCGAGCCAAGCACATGCTTGCCTAGAAGGACTAGTAGAAAAGTGGAACCGCTGTCATCATCATGTCATCAGCCTAATTACCAACCTGAATCTTATTTTTTACAAGTCCTTAGAAAGTCTAACAGGTCAAACATCCATGAAAAAAATGTTTTTATTTTTTACACAACTCCCGCACTACGAATATATCCCGTGTTGCGGAGACATACATGAAAGAACACCCAGACTCAGAACAACAATTTTTGGGTCACATAAAGTGTTGTCCCATGAGGTGATCGATTCCCTCATGGGACAACACTGCCGCCGCTTCCTACTGAATTGAGTATTGTGGGTTCGAACCCACAATACTCAATTCAGTAGGAAGCGGCGAGGTGACCGCTTAAACCACCACGCCATCGGTGCAGGAATGTGTATTTGTATGAATTTATATGGCGACCGCGACCCGGTCGTCCCGGTCGCTCCGGCGAGAAGCACATTAAAATGGCGGCGTTTCCACCAAACGAGGTGAAGCAATTGATTGCATTAGTGAATAAAAACCAACTCTCTTCTTCTAGTGATGTGAAAATTAAGTCAATGTTCATTCTTTTTTTCCGGAGGCATAGATAATAACATAATAAGATTGTCATCATCGTCTTCATCCTCCAACAGCTGCTGAATAGCTTTTTTCCTTGCTACGGCAAAATTTTTGTACATATCGCACTGCAAAAGGATATAACGCGTGGCGGTCACGCGTCGCGTCGCTTAAAGCTATGTGTCGCCCAGCGCCCGGCGGCCATGGTGGCGTAGTCGCATTCGTAGTCGCTTCGTGGTCGCTTAGAACCGAATGCTACCTTTACGCCATGTTTGAGTTATCCATCATGATTTATATGTCCTGGTGTTCAAATAATAAAAACGGACTGTCTATGGCATCTAAATCACACGTTTGACATTAAAAACTCTTGTAGGGACGCATGTTGGGATTATGACTCCTGAGTGGCAGAATGAATGCATGTGACCCTCACTTTCAGTCATGTGACCCGTCTGCTCGTTTGCCAGTATATCATATAAAATATATGATTTGTTTAAAAAAATCTACTACCTGCAATATATTGAGTTACCGCTGCGCCCGCGTGTATTTTGGTTATCGCAGTAAAAAGTAGCCTATCTTATTCTCTGATAAATAGCTTTCTATTGGTGAAAGAATTTTTTAAATCGGTTTAGTGGTATAGACGTGCAAGCGTAACAACCAAACTCATTTAACATTATAATATACTCATAAGTATGTGTTAAATTCTGCATTCTCATGTAATCAACATTACTAAAAGTGTAGCATCAAGTTTCTGGTATGGAGATAATTTTCTTTAATATGCATGTTTAAGCATACATCATCTCAGCCAGAAGACGTCCACTGCTGGCCTCCCCCAAAGTTCGCAACACGTTTTTTTTTGTTAACGCCATGGATGACGGACGATCCTTATGGATGTCCTTCGCCCATGAGGATGGCGAAGGGGTCGGTCGGAGTCTTACCGACTAAAAACCACCCGCTGCCCGCATCCAACAGCTTCCACCCCAAACAGCTAATTAAGCTTAAACCAAAAGAAATATCCCAGGGCTAATAAAATAAAAATGTGCGGAGCATCTCCGTGTAAAATATAAAAAAATAAACCTGAAAAATCTATTATTGTAAAATGAGACGGAAAACCTCTCGGGACAATTTATAACCAATAATATTTATTTATTTAGAGATGTAAATTAATTCTTCTGATTACTTTGAGTTAATACATACTTTAAATTTCGGTTATGAAATAAAATAACTACACAATTTCATAGTTTATTTGTCATTTTATTCTATTGTTTTACCTAGTTCACTTACAATTTGAACGTGTAAATGTTCGAACGTATAACATGTATTGTGTTCTTAATGAACGAGTTTATATTGCACACACTCGAGGGAATAAGACTCTGTGGCAATAGAGCGACAATATTATTTAGTGCCCTCCTCTTTCTCTCTCCGACTCCTACTTACTCCAATGCACGCTCAGTTCTGTATTCATTTATTTTCGGCGTCAAACCACGAAAGGCGAATAAATTTAATATAAATTTACACTTTGGAAGAATGCTATCCATCCAAGATAACATTCTTCCAGCCTAAACTGACGAATAATTGGGCAAAGACCTCTACGTGGAGCTGGAGTAGTGTCTCAAGATCAATTGTAAAACTGTAAACCACTAATAATACAATATTAAAAATTATAATACTAATATCTTTATAATATTAATAACTTGACCAGTTAAAGATGAGGTAAGGGATGTACAGGCTGGCTAAATAGATACTCGAATACAATAAGTATTGCATATTAAAATCACTGCCTATGAATACGAGTATTTTTGACTTTTTCATTTTTGGATTGCGATACCCTAAAAAAATTACAGGTAAAAAAACTCTTTCCATATCTTTAAATCTTTAGTTTATTTTCTATATTACAACAATGTTTTATGTACCTACTTAAATAATTTAAATAATAACGTCATCTGGGTTTAAAAAATTATCATGTTTTCTTTAATCATATATCTTGTTTACAAATCATATAAATGCATGTAACTTCTATATTGTCTACGATTAATAATAAAACGAAATGAAATATTTTATCTATCTAATCTCAAAATACATTAATACTAAATAGCGATTATACGACAGTCTTAAAAAATCTTAATGCAATTTTAGGCTTGTAGTATTTGTCTGATCCAGGGTAAATACTGAGCCGTATCAGTGAAAACAAGGTATTCCTGTAGATTGCACCTGCCATCATCAGTCCGAAGCGATATGGAGACTACGCCGCGGAGCCTCCACTTGCCTTCGTGTTGTATGTATAGACCGCCACCAGAATCACCTTTACAAGGCCCTGAACCTTTAAGGTCTCCTGAAAAATAATAAAGTAAATATTTGACATCTCGAAAATCAAATTAATGGTAAATTTTGAAATTAGAACAAAAAGTTGCCAACATTATTGTTATTCTATTAGATTATACCATAGAGTTACTCTTCAAAACTTCATCAGCATTAACGCTGAGCGGTGATCAATTTCAAGAATTGTCGTTCAAGTGACTCAAATGTTGTTTTTGTTCTATTTTCCTTGTATTTATTTTTATTTAGTTCATAAGTCATTTTATATATCAGAGTCAATTATGTAATAAATGCTTTTTCTTGCTTTCTTATAGTGAACATATCTAAACAGAACGTTACAGTTATGACGGGTCTGTTGGTCTAGTGGCTAGTGACTCTGACTGCTTAGTTAGAGGTTATGGCTTCGATTCCCACCTAATACATACAATTGTTTGATGAGCACGATCATTCATTCTGTGTCTGGGTATTTAATTATAATATGTGTGTATTTAAAAATGTATAAGTATTTATCAGCAGCCTGGTTACCGCTTCTTTTTTTTTAGTGTGGAAACCCCCTTCGGCGGACACCCCACCGGGGTTTACGGTAGGGTGGTGTGTCGGAATCGGACCGACTAAAACCACACGGTGTGCCACTGTGCGCCTGTAATAGGAGGGATCCGGGAACTGGTGTTATTAAGACATCCGGACCCCTAAATGAAAAAATAAATAAACAAAAACTATTAGTACCTGCACATAAAGTGTGACTAGAGGTGAGTTGGTGGAACGCCGCATTTTTCGCACGGCAGGTGTCAGTACTCACGATAGGCAAGTGAACCAAATTTGGTATGCCTGCTTTCGGTCCGCCGTTGTACTGTTCTCCCCAGCCTGCGACCTGCATCACAGGAGTATTATTAATGAAAAAGAACATTACCACTTTCCTGTATGATAAACCATTTTTTTTTTGTTAATAAGCATTTGTATGAGGTGCTTTCAAAAAAAAACTACAGAGTTTTATAGTTATCAATAATTTAGTTATTATTTTACCTATGAATTGGTTATTCTGGCTGAGTTAGCCTGTGATCACAGCCTGTACATCCTGGTATACAATTTAAAAGGTATGTAATATCCAGTACTTGACGATGTTATTACCCGTGAGCAATTTAAATGAATCACAAGTATAATATATTTACGTAAAAATAAATATGAGGGATTGCAGTCGACGTCCGATAAACGACGATTCTTTACTAAGCACTTGTGTTTGAGTAGTTTCTTAAAAAAAGAAAAACAAAATAAAAGAGAAAGACTTTATTCTCCCATTTTGTTCTTTGTTTTTTATCCCTCTTTACCGCATCCAACGAAAAGTGACTCAAATCGTCGATTTCCATAAGATTTTTGATAGGCTCGATCCCTTGCCTTGACGTTACGCACAGATGTAGCTTCACTCTGCATTCTCTATCGTATATATCATACTGAGTGCTTCGAGGAATTGTTCGGACTAATCGTTCCACATGGCAAAATTATCGTCTCCATCACTAATGCACTCTTCCACTGTAAGCTTTTCAAGACACTTTTTGCCTCGCACAACCAATCTGTGAAACAAGTTATCGTCTGCGGACCGATAGGACCTTCAAACCTTAAAGAAAAGAGCCTTCCTAAAAGAGGCCGGCAACGCGCTTTAGACTCCTGAGTTGCAGGCGTTCATGGGCGTGTACTCGTTTGTCCCCCTCTTCCATAAAAGAAAAATAAAATAAAATAAAGATGTGTAATTCGCAAATGACTTTGATTGTTTTGAATTATACTTGCAAAGTATCTAATTGTGTGATATTAAAAAATAATATGTATCTCCTAGATTAAGTTGACTTAGATTATTTAATTAAAAACATAATTAATTCTTCATATCTGTAGTATATCAGAAAAAAATCCTCTAAATTCTACTCTTAACTCTTGAGGTACGTTATCCAAAAAAAATTATTTAGCTCGGCGTTATTTTACAAATATGAAACTTGTTTTAAAATTTGTTTAATACTTACAATTCCAGAAGTATCGACGACCCGTTGTAGGGTAGTGTCGCCGCTCCATAGACAGGCTGGTCTAATATATTCGTTGAACTTTACCGGTAGCCTCAACGTAAGAATCAAGATATCGTCTGAAAGGCAAAAACTTTCATTTTAAAATGAAATTGTATAAAAATATAGATGTCAGGCTGCATTTAGTAATCTAATAATTCCATCATTTAGGAAACCGATTAATAAAATGTTTATTATTAAACATCATGATTTAGGCACATTGAAGTGTGTGGCTGGTAAGAGCTGGATGCGAGAAGCCCGAAATCGATATGTGGCGTGCAAATGGGAGAGACCTATGTCCAGCAGTGGACTGCGATAGGCTGATGATGATGATGAAGAATATGTGATATTTTTTTAAAGTTAATTATTTAAATAATCTAATAAATATAACAAAATAAATTTAAATTTAACTGGTAGTACCGAAGGTTAGCCCTTTTAACCCAAGAACTCAAGTTATTTATTTTTCAATGTTCTATCTCTCTATAGATAGGTATTCTAAGATATTAAGATTTACTTTCAAGTGAAGAAGAATTGTAAGCCTCGTGACTTTTGGCGTCAATCAGAGTTCTAGTCACCGTAATGTCGTCATCCCAGGCGCTCAAATCGTATACCCCAATCTTAACCAACATGTTCTGGTATGAGGTTCGCACTGACCGCAGATGCATGCAATGCGCAGCTGAAAAAAAAGAAATTTGAGTTTATGCACTTATTTTCTTTGAATTTTTAAATTTCGAAAAGTTTCTATTTAAGAATAGTAAGACTACAGTGTTAAGTAATACTGCCTATTAATAAAAATGCCAACGTGATTAAACTCACCAGTAATAACATGTCTATCCGAGACAAGAGTACCACCACAGATAAAAGCTAGGTCGTTCCGTGTGTTCCTGTAGATAGCTACGAGCCACGGTACATCGCCCCTATTGTAGGGGGTTCCTTGAACTATAAGCGGAATCTTACCACCTACTACGCCACATTCTATGTTTGAAGAGGAAGGTGTTTGCTGATTTACTGGTCTGAAAGGCAATCAAATTATCATAATATTATATGTTATACATCTGATAAAGCAATCTATGGATAACAGGAAAACTACTTCTTAGTACTTTTCAACATTAATACACTTTTTCATCATTATTATTATGTATTTTATAAGCAATTTCTTAAACGATTCGTAAAACATATTCGATGTAAAATGCAAATATTCGATAGAAATGCTAAAAATCAATTTTTGTAGTAAATATGTATTTAGTTTATTTTATTGAAGTTAATTTGATAGGAACAGTTTATTGACGGATTGTTGTATTATTGTTTATCTGTATTTAGGATGCAACCTACAAATCTGATTTCATTCAATAGTTTACTGAATTAGTAATTAATTTTCAATATTATTAATTTACGTTGATATGAAGGCATATCAATAGTTACAATGCAATAAATAGTTACGGTGGAATGTGTCTGTATCTCATACGCACGAAAAAATAATATACGCGTTCGTGACTTATTAACAAATACAAATAATGTATTTGTATTTTATATTTGTATCAATTAGTACTGAACGGTTCGTGCGTATGAGATACATACACATTGTAGAATAAAGAAACTTAGATAGCAAATGTGTCATATTTTATTATTTTATTCCATTGTATTTATATTCCTAGATGATTAAAGTATAGCTGTGCTATTACCTTGGCCTAGCAGGTCTTGCAGCTTGAGTAACTGACTCTTCAGGATAATACAAGGTATCTTCAATAGGTCTCTGCGGTCTTATGTCTTGTGTCACGGGTTCTTCATATACAGGTAGCGTAGGTTGTTGGATCACAGGTCTGTTCGGAATTCTGTTGACTGGAAGTCTCTGAGGTGGCCTCTGGGGGGGTCTTTGGGGTAGTCTCTGAGGTCTATCTTCGGAATTGTCATTGAAATTCTGAGTAATGAGGAATGGCGACGAAGGTCTCGAAGTTTGTTCGTATACTGGTCTGCTCTGCTTGTCATCCAGTGGTACTACGACGTTAACTATGAAGTAGGGATAATTAGTATGGATACACTGATGTCATAGACAAACATTGTGGTTATCATTCATAAAATGATGAATCATTCTTTGAAAATATTATTTCCCTCCGCGTGTGTCGGTAATTGCGGTAAAAAGTAGTCTTTGTCCTTTCTTAACAATCAAAGTATCTCGTTATAGAACCGTGTATATTTCCCCTCTTCACTGTCACAATTATATCGTCATTTTATAAATCCTTTTAACCTATTTATACCTTTTGTAAAAGAGTGTAGAATTGATTAATGTGCAAAATTACTGTAATAATGACTTACAATATTAATTATTAATTATAGAAATGATAACTCTACTGTACTAGTAAAGAAACAGTAAAATAGTCCTCGTAAGTACGTCACAACCGCTTTGTTGTTTTTGTTATTTAGTAACATATGACAGAATGACACATTAAAAAATGTTACCTCGTTAATGGGATTTTCAAACTTTAATTGGTTTTTATTTTCCTTGTATATGTTATTATTTAACTTTTATTTTTGTATTCTGTGTTTTATGGAATAAATCATGCCAGAGAGCCATGCTCCGGCTTATAAGGACTGCCTCTACCGGAGTAATACCACGGCCTCACAGAAAAACGGTATTAAGCAACTTACACGTTGCTTTTCACCGAGTGATTGAGGTAATTGGAACCCAAAACCCATCTCCTCTTCAAACTGGGGGGACTCAAAGAGAAGCCCGCACTCTGTGACTCTTGAGCTGCACTTACTATCAAGTGACCCCTATGCTCATTTGAACCTATAATTGCATAAAGAAAAATATCCGAACATTTGTATATTATATAATATAAAAATAATATTTCGGACATCTGACACACAACGCCATCTAGTTTCAAACTAAGCAAAACTTGTACTATGAAAACTAGATTGACTGAGAGAATACTTTTTTGTGAATACATACATATTATATATAGAAAACACCCAAATACCAAAACAAATATTTGCAGATCATACAAACATTTGATCCGACCCGGAAATCAAACCCGAGACCTCAGCACAGCAGTCGCTTACGTTCCTACTGCACTGCCGAGGCATTTTCTCTTATTCTGTGATCTCTTATCTTCTTTTCATATTAACTTTATACAAATAACACTCACCGTTATTCCAATTATTGTCAATACCATGGATGGTGTAAACTTGATTGTCGCCGAAATCATTGACAAAATTACTTTGTGTTTGCGGCCGAGACACTGGAGGACGTACTCCGATGAACGAAGTGTGCTGGAGGCTGAACGTCGTGAGGTACCGGTTTGGTCGAAGGACATCTGGAATGTGTGGTGAAATTATTTTCATTTCAATGGTCGAGTTTCTTATAAAATTATTAATCATTAACTTTTGCCCACCGGCTTACACACGTGAGTAATGAAATGACACCCTAAAGAACCCTGAAGTCTGGGTGTTCTTTGTGACCATTTCATGTATGTTTGTAGAGTCCCTCGCGACACAGGATCTATATAGGAATACCAGCAGGTGTCTTTTAAAAAAAAAAAATCTTTTCACATCACACATACGGCAATCTGATCCCAAACTAGGGAGAGCTAGTGCTATGGTAATCACTGCTGATAAACATACATTTCTAAAAACATACATATATATAGATCATACTTATCACACAATTATTTGTCCTGGGTTTGAATCGAAGCCACGATCTCTGGCTTAAGGTCACTAACCACTAGACCAACTGGGCCGTCGCTCACTAAAATTTTCTTGATAAGTTTTTCTACCTTATAAAATTGTTTAATTTAACACAACATTTTAATGCGGTTTTCACCAGTAGACATAGTGATTCAGGAGTTGGCTTTATATGTATAATACATGCATGTTATAATAAAGAAAATCCAAGAATATCAAAGAATCGTAATGTGAAGCCAGCCAAAGTCCGGCAGGAGCAGAGCGGGCGTGCACCAGGGATTTCCTTTCTAGGGTATACCTGGTTCCCCGGCTATTAGTACCCGAGACGGCGTGCGGTTTTAGTCGGTTCGAGTCCGACATGCCACCGTGTGGTATCCGAGGGGATTTCCGCACGGAAAAAAAAGGAGCAGAGCGGGCGTATTATAAAGATGACCGGTAGTATAGTATTATGATATTAATAGTATAATTAATATCAATAATATTAATAGTATAAGTAGTATCTACATTGCACTCGTGCGAAGTCGGGGCGGAACGTTGGTTATCAATAATTTAACAAGTAACGGTTCAATTTTAACTCGTAGGGTAACCGGTATCCGTTCTTAATATATTCGTTTTTTGAAACACCTATTTATATACAAATATTATGTTAAATACAGATATATTTAATTAAAAACGATAAAAATGACAAATTAAATGAATATACCTTTTGCGCCGTAAAGTTTTAAATTTAATCTTACATTTTTTTTAATGGGTGACAACTTGATAGGTTTAAAAAGAATATGTTCTAACGTCATCAGAAACCGTAATAAACTATATTCTTATATCTAAATCTCCCACTGTATTTTTCCTCATATGGAAATGGGACTTGACGGGAAGTCTATTAAAGGATTGAAGTTCTGTCAAAACTGAAGTTCTGTGAAGTTCTGTGGTAAGAATCAAAAGAAAATATAACTGAAGTGAAGAAGAAGAAGAACGTCGTAAGTCGTTAAATAAGGGCCGATTTTTTCAAAGAACATACCACATTATTTTAAGGGTGGGGAAATCCAACACATGTTCACATCTTCCTCCAAGCCTTTTTTCCAAACTTTTTTTTTTTAAAAGACAACTCCCGCATTAGGTATATATGTTGTGTCGAGGGGGATTTTACAAACATACATGAGTCGGACACTAAAAACACCCAGACTCAGAACCACAATTTGTGGATCACACAAAGTGTCGTCCCATGTGGGGATCGAACCCTCAACACTCAGCGTAGTAGGAAGCGGCGTGGCGACCGCTTAAACCACTACGCCATCCGTGCAGTTAAGTCTTCTACGATACGGCTGAACTTCGATTTTTCCTCAACAACCAAAGTAAGAGAAATCGAAGTTCTGTCGAAAGACTGTTGTCGGACTTTTTAGAGACCCAACTACCCGTAGCGATTGCCACATACAACCTGGCGTGCTCTCCGAGGCACGGAGGGCTGTCAATGTGTTAAAATAGACTGACCTGGCTAAGATTGCTTAACCTTGCAATGTGTTTTTTTTTTATAAAGCCTTACTAGCAACCGAAATTACTAGTATACCCGCTAACCCGTTCAGCTAAGCTAAATTGCTTGTGTTAAGAGTGGGTTCACGTCGGTAGTGTACCGGTCATGATTCGAAACCACGGCCTCTTGATCGCAAGTCCAATGCTTTAACCACCAGGCTACCGTCGCTTAAAGGTTCTCTTACTTACTCGGTTGCCACTTAGCCACTAGGCTAGTGCTATATATATTGTTTTATTTTAATATGAAATATTTTATGTGGTATGGGCAGCACTGGAGTTGTTACAAATCGTAATAGAATATGATACTCAATAACTATAATGAATGAATGAACTCTATTTACTTTGCCTCACACATAGTACTCGTATTATGTAATACTACTTTTCGCAATTTTTCACAATCCTAATTGACGATAAATAGGCTTGCCTCTTGGGTAGGACCAAATTATAGTTGGCAAAATGTGAATGGTAGTCTTTAATAAACTCGAGCAAAAAATGTTCATATTATAAACTTTTAAAGTATTTTCGATATCACAAGAAACCACGATTTTTTGTCGACATTGGCAATTTGAAAATTTTCCTATATCTTGGTATATATCCCTGTGACCCGAGCGTAAATCAGCTCTGCTTTGGTTTGAAAAAATTACGTCAGAACTGTCAGTTGAATCCTTCTACATTGCATTCGAACATGCACTTCTTTGCATGTAAACGTGTTTATCTCCACATGTACAAAGTTTTATTTTTGGATAAACAGGTAAGGCTGTATAAACTTGCGACGTGACTCATAGAGAAATTAAGCTCAAAGGTCAATAGTAAAAATTAATCCAGTAAAGTATTGGCAAATATTCGAAGCGAACTGAACAGATAGTATTGATTCTCACCCAGGACAAATAATTTTATGATGTGCACGCTTTGTGTCTTGGTGTAATTTATCTATAACATGTGTGTATTTAAAAATATGTAAGTATGTTTATCAGCAGTCTGATTTTCACAGTACAGGTTCTGCCTAGTTTGAGTTCAGGCGGCCGTGTGTGAAATGTGTAAGGTTATTTTAAAATTATACTCGTAATATTACCTCCAGGTCCGGCGCATATAGTTTCTCCGTTGACGGCGAGCCAAGTAACACGAGGGAGAGGTGAGGTTACGGGGAAGTGAACCCTGTATCGCATTGGTGACCCTTGGTTGTAGTCCCTCAGAGCAAACCTTTCGTTTGCCAGCTCCAAACTGCCATAGTAGTCCTTAAATTTAAATAAATTTCATAATAATAATTTCTGTGAACAATACAATCACATAAACAACATTTTTATAAGATAAGAAAAGCGGATTACATTGGATGTAATCCGTATAGTATTACATAGAAGCGTAGCGTTATATGGGAAAATAAAATAAAAGATTTATTTTTAATCAGAGGTATATAAACATTACATCAATTTAATATGGAAGAGATCCCAAGGGGCCCGTAGCTAATTGGTAACCGAGTAGGTTAAACAATCCTAGCCAGGTCAGTCTATGGATGGGTGAACATTTCTTAACACATTGCGACCCCTCCGCGCCTCGGAAAGCACGTTAAGCCCTCGGTCCTGGTTGCCATACGAACATCTGTTTCAATTTTTACGGGTAGTTGGAGCCCTAAAAAGTCCGACAGCAGTCTTTTTACAGAACTTTGATACGTGGCTCAATAAAAAGTTTCCGAATCTGGCCACTTACAGTAAAAGAGTGAAAAAACAATTATGGAATTCGAAATTAGAACTCTTTGGGAACATGTTACTTTTTAATTTGCGAGACTGTCATTTGTTTTACCACGTCGAAATTTGTGATGACGTCCTTTCGAAAATTGTGTTTCGCTATCAAAATGAATTTAACTCGTGAATATTTTCGATCAATGATTTTTTATGATTTTCGTTGGGGCTTAAGTCAACAAGAAAGTTGCCAGAGACTTCAATTGGTATTTGGTGATAAAGCACCATGTCGCAGCTCTGTGTAGTCGTGGTTTGGAGATTTAGAAGTGGACGTGATCATCTCGTGAGGTACGTGAAAGTCGGCGGGCGACTGCGGTCACAGACTCTAATATTGACACCGTACGACAACTTATTGAAACTGACAAAAAAGTACTTGCCAGCAAATTCGTGCTTTGTTAGGCATTAGAATGAGCCAAAACATTTTACATGTGCATCTGAAGATTCGGAAGCTTTGCACTCGATGGAGACCGCATAACTTAACGGAGGACCAGAAACGACTGCGTGTCCAGTGGTGCTGTAAAATGATGAAAAAGTTTAACGGAGGACAGTCATTGGTCTATCGGTCTATATCTATATTGGTCTATCGGTATATATATGGTATTGGTCTATAATATCGTGACAGGTGATGAAACCTGGGTGTACTGCTTTTAACTCGAGAGAAAAAGCCAGTCAGCAAAGTGGGTCTTTCCTTTTGAAGGTTTGACGACGAAAGTTAAGAAAAGTCAAAGCATTGGTAAAAAGTGGTTGCTTCTTTTTTCGGAAAATCAGGATATTACACTACAGTATCGCTTGAAGATTAAAAGTAAGTGACTGCAGTGTGTACGTCAACACTTGCTGGTCAGAGTCTTAGAAAAAATTCGCGAAAAGCGTCCTCGAAGCAATGTCCTCCTTTGCTACGCTAACGCATCCTCACATTCCGCTAAGGTAACAGACGCCTATTCGAAGGCTTCAAATGTGGAACAACGCGACTTTTTTTGTTTCCAAAAATTAAAGACAAACAGGCACACGTTTTACGAGCGTTGAATCGGCGGTAAATGCGTTCCATAAAGCCGTTGAAGAGGTCCCTAAGGAAGATGGCTCCAACTGCTTTGTACAGTGGTTTTAGCGAAAAACTATAAATGTATCGAACTCTTATATCTAGTCTTATTTATCTGAATCCAGAAACTTTCAGTATGCCCTAAGTATAGCCTACATGGGTCGTGAATATCGGATAGCAGTCGCTACGCCTATTAAAATCAAAATTCAGCCGTATCTTAGTAGACTTGAAGCCGACTCGAACCTTATTTGGGAAAAGGTTCCGAGATAAATATGCCTCATATTTTATGTAGCTATTTATATTTGTCATCATAACATTTCTAATAATATAATCGCGTCTTACAATCGATCAATCAATCAGTTTCATGGACACTCGAATACATCATTAATCGAAATGATTAAAATTGACTAACGGACCCAAGACACTGACACTGATGACGGTCAGTTTTAACAAGCCGTTTGCAGCACTACATACAGCAATCGATCATATTCATCACAGACGCGAAAGTTTGTGAGGATGGATGTAGGTTGCAAGGAGTTTTTTTTTTTTTTATTAAAACCCATACACATCAAATTCAACTTTATTATGTTAAACTTAATAATCATTGTAAAAAATTACATCTTTTTATTTACAAAAATAATTATTTATACCGTTTTAAATTGCTTATTTATTATATTTATTAAAAAATAAATCACAAAGTGCTTATTAGAACGAGTTTTTACCTGTAGCTTTCACAGACAATCAATTGAATAATTAAGTAATTCATGCTAGTTATATCTGTATAATCATACTTATCTTTATTGATATGTACCTAATCACTATAGGTGTGTAATAGTCAATCATAGTCTAGTAATCATAAAACATAATATACCTCTCATTTTGAACTCTAAATTAGACGATTTCATTTCTAAGCCCTGCAGCCTTCTATGTAATTATGCTTATTATGTAAGTAGGAATAAAATTAATGCAAACAAAATGTGTGACTTAAAAGTTAAACGTCCACTTTTTTGCTATTAGCTAGTTCGTTTAATGTAATGTCAAAATAATAGTCTTTTTTCATGCTCATACGGTTATTTGCACGACATGCCTAAAAACAGGTTTAATTTTTTTTGTCTGTCTGTCGGTCTGTCTGTTTGTTCCGGGTAATCTTCTACACGGCCTGACCGATTTTGATAACATTTTACTACCAGGTAGCTGTCTGTATAAGGAGTAACTTAGGCTATTTTTCCTCTCCGAAAAACCCTATAAAATTTTGCTAAGGCAGCGCTTTTCAAATTCGGGAAGTCGGGGTACCAATAACTTAAATATAGATTTATATACACTGAAAGTTAACAAATATTATATTAGTATACTAATATTATAAAGCTGAAGAGTTTGTTTTTATTGGTTGAACGCGCTAATCTCAGGAGCTGCTGGTTCGATTATTTTTTTGTATTTGATAGCCCATTTGTCGAGAAAAGCTATATCATCACGCTTCGGCCAATAGAAGCTGAGCATCAGGCATAGTGGTTGCGAAAACGGGGAAAATGTATTCCTTTTCGCAATACATAGACGGAATTGAGCGGGTCAGCTAATCCTAATAGTTTAAATGTTTAGATTAATTCGTCTGTTCGTGATTAGTTTATTAAATAATAACTTATGAAATCCTTCTCATGTTAGAGATAGATAGGTAATATTTAATTTTGTCATAATCAAATCAATATATATTTTTTTTAACCACGTATCAATTTCGTAATAACTTTAATTTTAAAACATTCATGTCAAACCACTTAAAGTAATATATTCATGAAACTACATAAACATGGCCTTTACTCAATAAATCAAAATGGCGTAATTGGTCACTTTAATTAAATTTGGAGTCGTTTAATCTAGCAAATATAAAAAGTGACATCAGCCTCATCAACATATCACGTGAAACACGTGCCAATTAAAAAAAATGGCATAAACAATCATAACCAAAATTTAAAAACAAATGATGTCGAAGTTAATTCTTTTTTCAATTTTACTACAGATTACGACAATCTAAAAAGAGTACAAGGTTGTTGCTATCTCCTATTATTTATTTCATACACAGACGGACTGCAAACATACAGGTTACCAATATAACCATCAATTAACCAAAGCTATTTAAAAATGCCTGTACCTCGTTTAGAGATGTTTAGAGCAAGCTGTGTGTACATGGCCTTACTTATTTACAACGCATTACCTTAAAAAATTGAGAACTTACCATACCAAACATTTTATTTTGAACTAAAGAAATTGCTAATTAAACAGAGGTTTTATTCTGTCAACGAGTTTTCCACTTTAGAAATCTTTCCACTTTAGAAATGTTTGAATTAATCAATAACAATAAACTCAAATTTTATTGATGCTTAGGTTTTTATTTAACCTTATAAACTAAATATTTGCGTGTTTTTTAATGGCGATATGTGTTCTGAAATTCCTGTGAAATAATTTTCAGTTCGAAACAGCAGTTAGTAAAACTAGCGCGTTCATTCAAAAAAATAAACAAACAAACTCGTCAGCTTTATAATATTAGTATAGATACAAAAAATCGATCAATTAGATGCCCGAGTTTTGTGTGCCCAATCCGGGCTAGATGCCCGGATGTTTTGTTCTATAAAATATTCTCATAATTGCAAAAATCTCGCAAAAATTTGCTGAATCTCCTTCTTTTATAGCAGAATTTCAAATTTTATTAAGAATTACAGTAATATACTGAGAAGCGTTAGCAGCCCTATTCAGGTCTCTATTAAAAAATGTTGGCATCGTTCATCTTGCAAACTTGTAAGAAACAGGTTTGGCGCACGGTTTTTCCCTGTCATCGTTTGAGAAAGCAGGAAAACTATTGGGAACACAAATCTCTCGATAAGTCTAAACCAACTAACACTTTATCTTAACTTATATTTCAATAGTATAAATAATAATAATAAAGCGGCTTAAAGTAAAACAACTCACCGTGGGAGAATAGTTTTATTCATATAGTTTAGTTTTATTATTGTTTCTGCTATATATAAATGACTTGCCACGAGCATCTAAATATCCTATGACACTTTTTGCTGACGACAGTACTGTTATCGTAAATTGTAAAAATGAACACACTTACGAGAGCGACATTAATGAGACTATTACGTGTATCATAAATTACCTAAACAGTAATAACCTAAAAATAAATATAAAAAAAACTAAAGTAATGTTCTTTGGTCAACGTACTCTGATGCCATATGTTAATGTACACCATGAAAACAACACATTAAGCAATGTAGATACAACTAAATTCCTAGGGCTCACAATAGATAAACGCTTAAATTGGAAAGTTCATACGGAAGAACTCTCCAAGCGAATCAGTTCTGCGTCATATGCCCTATTCAAACTGGCTCCGGTTTTAAATAAACATGCTCTACTAACAGCGTATCACGGTATGGTAGGATCAATCTTAAGATTTGGCATTATATTTTGGGGT